AACTTTGTTGCTTGTATCCTTACGATTTATATTGATATTGTTTCCTGATTGCTTATTTGTACCCTATGACTATCATTAAGTGTTGTAACTTATGATTCTTGATGAACTATCTTTTCTTTTATATACACTGAAAGCACATGCACCAAGACAAATTCCTTGTGTGTCCAATCACACTTTTTTTTTTTTAATTTGATTTATATGCCGCCCTTCTCCGAAGACTCAGGGCGGCTTACAATGTGCTCAGCAATAGCCTTCATCCTTTTGTATATTTATACAAAGTCAGCTTATTGCCCCCACAACTGGGTCCTCAATTTACCTACCTTAGAAAGGATGGAAGGCTGAGTCAACCTTGAGCCTTGGCGAGATTCGAACCCTGCAGTAATTGCAGGCAGCTGGTCTTAATAACCAGCTTAATAACAGGGTGCCTTAAACCCCTGTACTACCATTGGCTCACTTGGCCAATAAAGAATTCTATTCTATTCTATTCTTCTACTGTCTTCTGTACTACCAAGTCCCCTTAATTTCATCTCAAACTGCAACCTATCCGCAAACAGCTAACCTTTCTCTCTGTACTGTTAGTCTTCCTTTCTTTCCCCATTTCCTAGCACTTTGGCCTCAAAAAAAAAAAAAAAAGACCAAATCTACAAAATGGCCTTCTCTGGCTTCAAATTCACTCTGATTCTGCTTATCTGAGGATGGGGGATAGAAGAAGATTCCCTTAACGCCTACTTCCATATGGCGAAATATTTTTGCAGTCATGCCACATGCTACCCGCAGCTGTTTCTATGGTAGTGGGGTTTGTTTTGGACGAGGTTCCTCCGAAAATGTAAGGCTATCCGGCTGAAAGCAAGGCTACAATTTTTAATTTACAACCAGCGCTATGGTAACTGAACACATCTCGTCTGTTTACAAACACAAGACGCCAGGCTTGGGAAAGTTCAGCTGTTGTTGGGTATCTTTTTTTTTAAATATAGGAGCCTTTCCTTTGAATATTTCACGAGTAGCCCTGAAAAAATGAATCAAGCTGGTCTTGAAGAAAGAGAATAGAGACACGTTTCAAAGCTAGACATATTCTCCATCCTAAAATGGAGTTAAACGAGAGAGCAGTATTTCTACAGACCACAGTAAGACTGGTGAAAAGAAATGGGAGAGTGGGGGGAACACCACAATTTCAAATTTAGTTAAGAGTGCAAAACTGTATTTATTGTGTTCTTTTTATTTTACTTTATTTATTTTGTCGAATACCTATTAGATAATATATATAAGTATAAGCATGAATTGAATACATAAAATGAATACAATTAAAGGAAACAAGAGTCGTAATATTATAGAGTGTGGAACAAACTGTATGATTGGTTAGAAAAAAGAAACCAAAATAATAATTTGGAATGTTAATTTAATTGGGTTAAAACTAGGAAGTGTAAATTACTGAATAGTGTTAACCAGATACTGATGGTTCTGTAAATAGATACTAATGTAAATATAAGTATATAGATGAACGATTGAATAAGAATAGAGAATATATATCCGTGTCGATACCGTAAGCTGTAAAATAATATATGATGTAAAGGAAAAATTAGGACAGGGACGGTAGGCACGCTGGAGCTCTTATGCACGCCCCTTACAGACCTCTTAGGAAAGGGGTGAGGTCAACAGTAGCCAGTCTAAGGTTAAAACTTTGGGGGTTTGGGATGAAACCACAGAGTCAGGTAGTGCATTCCAGGCATTGACCAGTCTGTTGCTGAAGTCGTATTTTCTGCAATCGAGTTTGGAGCGGTTCACTTTAAGTTTGTATCTTATTGTGTGCTCGTGTATTGTTGTGGTTGAAGCTGAAGTAGTCACTGACAGGTAGGACATTGTAGCAGATAATTTTATGAGCTATCCTTAGGTCATACCGAAGGTGGCTTAGTTCTAAAATTTCTAAGCTTTAGAACCTGTAGCAAATCAGAAACCCCTTTTTCAGAAATTAATGATTTTGACAATGATCACTGTGGGATGCTTTTATTCTCGCAAAGCCAAAACGGAGAGAGCAATTTTGAAAATTCTCAATAGACCTGCTCCACAATGCATTATTGCTTAACGCATTGTAAGCCGCCCTGAGTCTCCGGAGAAGGGCGGCATATAAAATCAAATTAAAAAAAAAAATGCTCGAAAGACATTTCTAAAATTTGTATTCTACTCAAATAGGAGAGAAAACCCAGATAACTGACAAGCCGCCCCTGTGAAATGCTGATTTGTCAAGGCTTTTATTGTGTTCTTAAATTTTTGTTTAAACGAAGGTGGGAAATGAAAGGTCACCCAGTTTTGTCGTTGTATCTGTGGTTCCCAGTTTGTGTTTTACTTGTGGTTGTGGTTTCTCCTGGGTGTGCAGGTGTGTAACTGTTTCATCTACATATCTTCCTTTTTCTGTCTGTGTGTATGTGCCCTGTGGTAAAATTTACTGTTGGATCTTTCAACATTACTTACGGGCCCTTTGTTCATTTTCTTGCCAAATTGTCTTTAACTTCTTTAGATTGCAGTACTTCCTGTAAAATGAATCCTGAACCAAAATTTAAAAAATGGTTTTATATTGTGGGCATGGCCCTTTACGTTGGATTTTGATTCTTACACAAACTGCTTTCCTTCTAGCCTTCTAGAAAATTCTTGTTTAGTTACGGCCCACAGATAATCTGACAACCCCTTTCAGTTAGCATCCGTAATGTGTTCAAACTCTCCATCTAGCTGCCCATAGCGAAAGTTTGGGAATGTTCTCTAAACCAAATGGTTTAATCTATAGGTTTTGCAGTTACGCCACTGTTGACATTAAAATTTAATCATTTCAAATTTCTGCACACGACAGGGGGGGAAAGACACAGCTGCGTTGTGGTCCGCCAGAAGCTTGCGGAGCTGGCAGTGGAGTCGGACAGTGAGGAGGCTGGGGAGGAACACGGGCCAGTCCTGGAGTCTGGGGAAGGCCCGGACGAGGGCTCTGCATCAGAGGCAGAGATGGGGCCAGGGCCATCTGGGAGTGATGCGCGGACTCCAGAGCCCCCAGAGTCGGACAGCAGAGAGACAGAGGAACAGGAGGAGCCTGTCCCTACTGCACGCATGAGCAGAGCTGCCAGAAGGCAAGAGCAGCTAAAGCAAAAGGGACAACTTGGGAGTAAGGCCAGGAGATGATTGGCCCCTCCCATAAGGCTTAAAAGAAAAATGAAGGAAATTGGGCCTTTTGCAGGAAAGCAACATTGCTAACTCTATTTCCAGTCGGCATCTCGTTTGTTTCTGAACTTCGTGGGGCTTTGCCACATAAGCCCTTTGGCAGGTTGTCAAAGAAGATAAAGGTTGGTGATTATTCTGAAGGACTTCTTCCGAAGGACTTGTTTTGAAACTAATTGGGACTCAGCTGGGAATGAACGTAATTCTCAGCTGTTACAATAAAATAGGTTTGTTTGGGACTAATTGTGTCTTGTAATGACTCAGTAAGCTAGATCACAACAGGCTGCTTGGTGGCTATTTTTGAGTACAGACAAGGCATCTGAACTAAAAAAAGACAGTGGGTCAATGGCAGAAAGACCAGCTATTTTGGTTGTTAGGATATGGTATAAGCCTAACAAGTTGTCCAGGCAATATATGTGTGCTATAACTTTAAATGTATTCTGTAACTTTAAGATGTAATGCTGAGTAATTGTACTGCTGAGTCATTGTAATGACTAATGACTGCTGACTGCAATTATCCTAATTGTACTGCTGACTTCACTTATCTTAAGTGGATAATTACTAGTGTAAACTGTATATAAGGAGAGAGCCAAGCTATAGTCATTGTTGGTCAGAATTGGTTGGACTTGTTGGAACTGTTACTGTCATGTGTGAAGACGTGGATGGATATGCTAGCATTGTGATTTGTTACCAGCGTGAATTGCTGTTTATTATCTACTGCTATTTGTATGGTAAGAAGATATCTGGAACCTCGGATTGATTTGAATGGCTAAAGACTTGGATTGACTAAAAGACTATGCAATTGTTTTTCACTACGAAGTAAAAGCTTTGTTAAACCAGTTTGTATGTATTGCATTCACTGCTCTCAGTACCTTTTCTCTGTTGGTTGGTAACACAACAATATCCTTAACATTGGTCACAATGGTTGTTTGTCAAGTGCCTTGATTGTTGCTCCACAGCTAATAACAGAAAAGTTGTGTAAAAAGGCTTGGATTGATCGGCTTTTTAGAAGGTACTCAAAAGTCCACGATTAAGGGAAAATAATTACCATTTTCGCATCTTTTATCTTTTTTTGACTCTATACAGACTAACATTGGAAGCCAACATTGCTGGCTTATTAGGTACAGAAACAGGGTGTGATTGCAACCTTCCAGAGCATAATTTCATGCATTATGTAGAACAGCCAACTGTGATGAAAACTGCTCAACACTGTGATCCAGTTGGATCCAATTGGTTTGGAGCAGATTCTGCTGACCGGACTGATTTTTATTTTTTTGGCTTACTGCCTACAGGTAGTCCTCGACCTACCGCCATAATGGAGCCCCCAATATTTCTGCTCTTAAGTGAGACATCTGTTAAGTGAGTTTGGCTCCATTTTTACGACCTTCCTTGCCGCTGTTGTTAAGTGAATCCCCGCAGTTGACAAGGTAGTCACCCGGTTGTTAAGTGAATCTGGTTTCCCCGCTGACTTTGCTTGTCAGGAGGTCGCAAAACGGGATCGCGTGACCTCGGGACACAGCGACCGTCATAAGTATGAACCGGTTGCCAAGATGGCTGAATTTTGATCACATGATCGTGGGGATGCTGCAAAGGTAACTGTGAAAAAACGGCCACAAGCCACATGTTTCAGTGCTGTTGTTAACTTTGAACCGCCACTAAATGAACTGTTGTAAGTCAGGGACTACTATACTATGCAATTTCTTCCTTTGAATCAAACTGGACAATCCTCAAGGGTTCCATTTTATGATGGGTACATTTCAGTCATTACAGACTTCTGGCTCAACCCCAAAGAATTATTAAAACTCCAACATTTACATATTTTATTATTATTATTATTTGAGATGACTGCTTGTTACAGGATACTGACAGCTGTTGGACATCTGTGTACACAGATACATTTTTTTTCCCTTGTAAACACAAATGCATAATATAATAGTTTGCAGAACAGAAATTGTCGTCCTGTTCTTATCATCTGAAAAGTAGCTTATTTTGAAACCCAAGTTATCCTAAGGAGGTGTTCAGCCCTCTGGTGTGATTGTGTTTTTTGGCAATCTGACTCAATCTGAAATAATTGGAGCACGTAAAGGAGACGCACAAAATTACTCCGCTGAAACCTAAGAGATGGAATGAGCAATGCTTTGGTATATTTTGAATATGCAGGCGTATCCCAAAAGGATAAAAATGTTAGATTAACATTCCAGCATTCTTTAGAAATCGTGAAACGACGAACAAAAAACAAACAAACTACACAATCATGTAATACTTTCTGCTGTACGTTGCAAGAAAGCTCTGTAAAAGTCAGCTCACTTCCGAAAAGACTGTGCCAAAATTGAAAACATCACATCTCTTTGGAAAGACAACAACCTTAGACATTTTTTTTTCTACACTGATGGAGGAGGAAAAAACACAAACACACAAGAGAGTAAAGATTAAATATGAGACAAGGAGCGTGTACCATATGCACACATTTCACACAAAAACAGGAATCATATAAATTAAAATTTCTGTTGGGGCTAACAGCAGATTCAACACTCATTTTCTGTTACTTTTGGTTCACACAGTTGCTGGGAATGCCACCTTCCCCTCTCCATCTATGTGTCTTCATCACAACTGAACAGTTTGTGGTTACTAATTAGTAACTGTGGTTAACGTAACCAAGATTTCTGCTTTAACATGGTTTGGACTATAGAATAGGAAGAGAATGATGGTGTAACCATTAAGTCAGTGTCAATTCTTCACGACCAACAGTTAAGATTGTCTCTGAGAGTAACTATCCCTGGAGTTTCAGATCTTCCAACAAATGAGATTTGAAAAAATCCTTGTTAATTTTAACTAAAGACTGAGAAACTGTAATGGTTTTAAATGGAATTAAAAGTGGAAGGCAGACATTTGGTCTAGGGAAGGGAAAAAGACTTGCAGATATAAATGATGCATTTGAAGTTTATTCGCCACGGTTAAGAGGGAATCCGTACCGGATGAGTGGCAGAAATAAAATTTTTGATGAAAGAAGTAAAAAATTATGGAGCAAAAACTAAACTGGTTGTCTTTGTGCCAGTTTTGTTTCAAAACATCTGGAGCCCACGTTAAGATAAACTACAGAAGGAATGTGATGGAAAACAAATTATATTGGGTGGGTATTCTGAGATCGAGTCTCTATTCTAGTTTCTAACATATCAAAGTTTTCTATTGTGCTAACGGTAAGAACAATTTAACCCTGATTTTTTTTTGTTTTTCTTTTTTCTTAAAAAAAGAAAAAACACTTATTTCTCCCATAACCACAGAACAGTACATTACTACAAGTTTCCAAAATGGTTTTTTTTTTGGTCCGTTATCCCTCTTGATTCCAAACCAATTTCCTACTGCCAATTGAGCGAACGTTGAGCGAACGCTTAATGTGAAATTAAGCTCAGTCATTTTTGGAAAAAAAAAAAAAAACCAAGTGCTTTTCCACTTTGTGCTTCTTGCTTTAATTTGCCTTTTTCTTAGCAACGACCACAGAGAACAGGAGTCGCTAGTGAAGCCACAGGATTTCGCTCACCGCCCCCATAAAACAGCCGTTTCCAGGAATGTGATGTTATTCGGGGCAAGAAATCCACCGGCTGCATCAAATCTAAATGAAATTCTTGGAGAACACTTTGAGGCCAAAACAAAAAACAGCTAAAATAGTTACGGGCATCTGCCAGAGAGGTCAAGGGGACTCAAAATGGCAGCCATTGGATCATGTCATCGTGACCGCCATCTTAAACCTCTTTGGATGCCACTTTTTAGGACTTTATAGAGAGTTGGGATCAAAATCTGCGACACTGTTCATCATCCGTGAGGGAAAACGGGAAGGACGCATTTTAGAAACTAAAAAGTAGATTGAAATTTAAGTAAATTTCAAAAGTAAAGGGAACCTTTCCCCGTCCTTGAAATTCCTGTTTGCTTCAACCAGTTGTTGCTACTCAAAGAATGAGCTGAGGGGACAGTCAACTCTTTGGACACGGGGAGGGGGGACTCCTTCCTGCATTGGTTACCTTCCACCAAGTAACTGTTAACTATCAAACTCTGTCCATAAATTTGGTCGCTGAGGGTGAAACCATCCAGTTAGCATAAACACTATCATTTGCATATCTTGAAAACACAGCCTTAGGCCCGTCGCTTCTGGCAAGTGGAACAGGGCTCTCTTCGGGCCAGTTCGGGTATGACATGCCTAAAAATGAAAACAGATAATTTTTTCTGCACTGAAGAACCAACACTTCATGTGCAGACAGTAAGGCCCTTGGCAAAACTCCCTTCGCAAATTGCAAGCCAAATGACAAAACGACCCCCTCACCTCCCCAAGAAACTCAAATGTGTTTCCCAAAGGAACTGGGACCCAAAGCTAGAAATCGCAAAAAAATAGGTCCTTCGATGCAGCCTGCTAAAACGTTTGCTCTTTTTAAAATTTGAGCATGTTATTATTTTCAGGGGAATTGCAAAAACGCAAGTGGTTCTTGCAGTGGGGATCCCCATGGCAAAAGCAACAATAAATCTCACAATTTGAAAAAAAAAAAAGTTGAAAGTCTGTGCATGCAATGTTTTCAGTCAAAGACACTGATGGATGAAGGAAGGAAGATTTATTTGTGTGTTTGTGTGTTTACAGGCACACATGTAAATGTATATAAATGTGTTTGAGAGCCTGGAACATACTCCATAAGGCCACTGAAATTGATATAAACCAAAACTTGATTCTGGCTTTTTGTAAATGGCTTAATTTGATGTTTGTCTTTAAAAAAATAAATAAATAAAACTTTAACTTGTAAGGTGCTCAGAGTGGTTTTGGAATTGGGTAGCGGTAATGATAACACCCAGCCCAATTCCTTGAATCCATCAAGTCTAAAGTTCTTGCAAATGAAATATTAAAACAAGATTCTTATAGGGAATCTAATCATGCCCGTTGAAAAGAGCCACCCGTTCTCACCTACTTCTACAAAAAAAAAATCCTGGATTTCAAAACAGGATTAACTTGGCATGAAAACTATTTAAGAGCCGACTACGAATTTAAGAATTGGGGCTTGGGGAAGTAAGCCCCTGAACGTGACAAATAAATTGAAAGGCATGGCTTGAATTAAAGTCATTTCAAGGCCTTGATGGCATGTGCAACATTTAATTAGGAGACCAAAATGTAGGAGTTTTGGCAAGATTTGTCTTTACTGTCCATCTCACCACCACAATATCAAAGCACATTCCTTCTAAGACACTTGCAACCACATTCAAAACAGGGTGTAGAGGCTAACATTTTCATGGAAAAAAAATAAACAAAACCCCAAAGCATGTGAAAACAGCAATGGTTGTTTTCGTGGGATCAGAGTCTTTCAAGCTCTCCCCCAGAACCCATCTGAAAAATCCCGTTACTCAGTAAGCAGGCATGACTATACAGAAACATAATATATAATACAAGGCAACATTTCTGATTGTGGACTCCATCCGAATCCAAAACTGGAGCGGACTCTATAAACGGTGAAAAGAAGAGGACGACCCAAACTTTTAAGCTGTAAAAAAAGTGATGCTGTTTTTGACAGAAGACACCACCTCCAAAAAAATATGGGATTTAAATTCTCCAACCCCAGACATACACAAAAAGGATAATTTTAATTGGATAATGGCTAGCATATATTTTTTTTAAACTTCCCCTGAGAATGCGTCCCTGATTCTAGGATTTTTGTCTTTCTTAGACTACATATCTATATCCAGATATATAGATATATAGATATATATATAAGGATAGGTTGCACGTTTTCACATCCTTTAATTTTTTTTTTGGTTATTGTTGAACACAGCTGTAAAAGACGGCTAAAGGAACAGAGCTTGACAGAAATGAAGAAGAAGAAAAAAAAAGAGAGAGGGAGTGTTTAAAAACTTGCCAAGCAAACTTTGATTGGTTTCATACCAACAAATAATACTCGGAAGGGCATTTACAGAGAGCGTGAGAACAGTGCAGAAGAGAAATCAGTTTTGGGAGATTGTGTGTGGTTAGAATCTAGTAAATGCATGTGAAATTCTACCATAGAGTTTGTTTTCAATCCATGTGGAAGGAAGAGTTCGAGGGAGGGGAACATTATTACAATCCACAAGAGGCATCTCTTCTTCCGAGAGTCCATCATCGTAAAGCAGAGAGTCCGAAGGAGTGGAAGCGGCCAGATCTAAATAGTCCTAAGCCAATAAAAGAGAAAGAGGGTTAAGGCAGAGGCCTTTGGGTCTCCGTTCAAGTCAAGTCGATCATCCCGAAGGACCCAAAAATGTCCGGCGCAAGCAACCAGATCCACATGGGTAGAGTTCAAGCTAACTACTTCATTGTTGTTCTGCCTAGAATACAGGAATCTCCCGAAAACAGATTGTCTTCCCTTGGGAATGGATAGATAAAGGTTCCACGGAGGTTCCAGCTCTCTTGCAGCTGCACAACGATTCAAGACTAATTCCTGCTTGAACCCTCTTCCCTGTCTGGCTGGGCATTTTTCCATAAAAACTCAGTTTGGGGAGATTCAGAATATTTTTATCGTCTGGAAAAGTAGCAGCCCTGGAGACAGTGGTGAAATTCAAATTTTTTTACTACCGGTTCTGTGGGCAGGGCTTGGTGGGTATGGTGTGGCTTGGTGGGTGTGGCAGGGGAAGGATACTGCAAAATCTCCATCCCCGTCCCACTCCAGGGGAAGGATACTGCAAAATCTCCATTCCCTCCCCACTCCTGCGGCCAGCCAGAGGTGGTATTTGCCAGTTCTCCAAACTACTCAAAATTTTCCTCTACTGGTTCTTCGAACTACTCAAAATTTCCACTACCGGTTCTCCAGAACCTGTCAGAACCTGCTGTATTTCACCCCTACCTGGAGACATATTTCTTTGGAATCAGTCCAATTCATGTTTCCTTAGATATCTGCTGAAGTTCTCTAATTCTCAACTTTAAGTAGTGTTCCTTGCCAACATGTTAACATCATGGGTTTGGCAAGGAACTCCTTTAGAAATCCACAGCCTTCCCATCCAGCATTAGATCTCTTTCAGGAGACCAGCTCATCAATTTGTTACAGAAGCCTCCATGAATAATCCTTTGTCTGAAATTATGGAGATTTTTTTTTTTCAGAAGCACTGAATTCATGCACATCTGGTACTGCTGAATATGAAGGGAAAAAAAAAACCTCTCCCCGAGCAAATAATGTGCTTTGCATTCATTTGAACCTTCGCTAAACAGCTCTGGTGCAAATCCGAGGGCTATCGTGTGATCACATCACAACTCAACATCATGGGGATTTAATTTTATTGCAAAATACGGCCTTCTAATAAAATTGCACAGTATTAAAAAAAAAAACCAGCAAAGCAAGGCTTTGCGTAATTACACAACTTATGGAAAGGAGAAAGCCATTTGGAAGTTTGGGGAATCCCAAAATCAGCAGAATTGCACCAACCCTTGTTGTAAAATACGTCCTGCAAATATTCTTCTCCAGGGTTGAGAATTTATTTGAATTTTATTCCAAAGGTTGCTGAGAACATTTTTTTTTTTTTATGTTTATGTTGATTCTGTTTGGGGATTTATTTTCTTGTAGTAGGTAGTGACGGCTTTATTATCTCCTAGGACAGTGATGGTGAACCTTTTTAGCACCGAGTGCCGAAAAGGGAGCACTTCACATGCATGCGCGGTGCCAAGTGTCAAAAAGGGAGCACTTGTGCGCTCACGGCACCAAGTGCCGAAAAGGAAGCTGAATTCCCATCTCATACTTCTGAAAGGTGCCCAAAGAGACAATACGCTGTGCGGAATGGCCTTTTTTTTTTCGTGAACTTGTGTTTAGAGCTACGCTGTTTCCTTTAAATTAAATGGTGATATTTGATTGCTATAATCAGAGCCGCCCTGTGCATGTGTACACAAAAGCATTTTGCACTCTGCAATTCTATCTGACCTCAAATGTTGTCTTAATCTAAATAACTGCAGCACGTCTGATCCCAGGCGATTAGCTAGGCTTTTTTCCCTTCCTGCCTTTCAAATATCCTTTCTTTAAATCTCTCTTGAACAAGTTCTCTTCAAATATGAGCAAAGGGGATAAAAGACTCCAAAGAGAAATGAACCAATCACCACCTCCAGGCATATCTATGTAGCTGTAATGAATTTTGTAAGGTTCTTACCCGGCTCTTGACCATCATTTTTTCTAATTCTTTACTGATCTCAGCAAATGTTGGCCTCTTATCTGGTTCCTGTTTCCAGCAGTGAAGCATCAAATTGTACCTTTAAGAGAACAAGCAAACTTTGAATCTTCAAATGAAAAGGAGGAGGAGGAGGAGGAGGAGGAGGAGGAGGAGGAGGAGGAGGAGGAGGAGGAGGAGGAGGAGGAGGAGGGAAGAGGAGGAGGAGGAATAATTCCCAGATTCCAACATTTCTGTTTTGTTGGTTTTGTGAAGGTGGTATTGGAATCTACTGGAATGGGGCACCCTATGAAATAAGCAATCACAAATGTCTGTTCTATCTATCTATCTATCTATCTATCTATCTATCTATCTATCTATCTATCTATCTATCCATCCATCCATCCATCCATCCATCCATCCATCCTTCTATCTATTTATCTATCCATCCATCCAATTTTCCTTGTGTATTTTATGACTTTTTCAGAACCCCCAGAAAAACTTTAGGACAAATCCAATAGATTTCTCCAACACACACATATAAATGCGTGAAGATTGATGATAGGACTTTGGCTTAAATGCATTAATTCAACGAATTCATACCCAACTTTTCCACAGGCTGAAAACTTAAAATGTTGTGAAGAATATAAAAACCATGAAAATACTTCTTTTCTTTCTTTTTTTTAAAGAAAGACTTCCTCTCATCAGCCTTGTAGGCATTCTTTTTTTCATCTCAGGTAAAGTCTGGTGGTTTTCAAGAAAACTCCAAGGGAGATTCAAAGCATTTTTTTCCCCTGCAAAAGGGCCACACATTTGTGCTGCAAAATCCTGGATGTGCCATTTCTGTATATCTTTGTTGTCAACCTAGTATTTCTCTTAATTTTGCAAGCCGGATGTGGCAGACCCTTCAAAGCAAGCAAATACAGTAGCGGCTAAAATTGTGGAAACTTTTTGGGAAAAGTGTATTTTCTAAAACTAGCTAATATCACCACTTTTTTTTTGAATAGTACCATAAAATGATATATCAATGGAAAGATAATTTAATCAAGAATGTAATGCAATAACTTTTATGAAGGATTTGCTATTAGAAGAGCAGTGACAATATAAAAAAGAAAAGTGAAACATGTAGAACAATCGAGATATACAAAAATGATTACCATGTCAGTTAATAGTTGGGTAACCTTTAGCATGAATTACAGCAGTGGTGGGTTTCAAAATTTTTTACTACCGGTTCTGTGGGCATGGCTTGGTGGGCGTGGCAGGGGAAGAATACTGTAAAATCTCCATTCCCACCCAACTCTGGGGAAAGGTTACTGCAAAATCCCCATTTCTTCCCCACTCCAGGGGAAGATTACTGCAAAATCCCCATTTCCTCCTAATCAATTGGGACTTGAGAGGCAGAGAATAGATGGGGGCGGGGCCAATCAGAATCTTTACTACCGGTTCTCCGAACTACTCAAAATTTCCATTCTCCAGAACTGGTCAGAACCTGCTGAAACCCACCTCTGAATTACGGCGTTACAACATGTTCCCATGGAGTGAACCAAGTCTTTTAGTTCTGCAGCTGTTCTAATATGAAATCAAGATTGAATGATTGCTTCTATTAACTGGGTTTTATTGCTGGGTCGCTTCTGTTTAACAAGTTTCTTTAGTCGGCTCCATAGATTTTCAATTGGATTAAGTGGCCTGGGAATAGCCCAGACCATTCCAGCAGTGGAATAGGATTATCTTGAAACTCCAAACAAACAAAAAAAAAAAAGTGGTATTATTAGCCATCAAACCTCAAAAATACACTTTTCCCAAAAGGTTTCCACAATTTTGGCCACTACTGTAGCAAGCCCTTGTTCTTACTGAAGAGACTGGATAACATAATTATGGGTCAGGGTCTTAAGGATTAGACTGGTGTTTCCCAACCATGAAATATGCACACCTATGGGCCTGAACCATTAGAATTCTCAACCATGTCCATCTTCAACAACGGAATTAAAGTTCATCTTTAGAACTACCAATAAATAATAACTCCTAGACCAGGGGTCTCCAACCTTGGCGACTTTAAACCTGGCGGACTTCAAATCCCAGAATTTGGGAATTGAAGTCCACCAGGCTTAAAGTCGCCAAGGTTGGAGACCCTGTCCTAGATAGTTCAGACACACACATATTGCATTCACAAACCAGTAGAAGCCAAGGAGCTGTCAGTAGTGTCATGACACCATCACACAAACACACAAATTATATGATTGATGTCCTTCGCAGATGATGTCATGATGATGAACTGGAGATCACCCTGCTGTCCTTTGACCCCTTATGGATGACCGTGTTCATCCAAAATGCAGAAATCTAAGAGAAAATAGCTGATTATAATCCTTCACGGGATTAGCAACATTGGTTATCTGAGGTTACTTACATCTCCTCACTGCAGTTTTCCGGTTTCTCCATTCTATAACCTGTTTTTAAGAGGTTAAATAGCCTCTCTGGAGCAATTCCTGGATATGGATTACCTCCGAGGGTCACAATTTCCCATAACAGCACTCCAAATGACCATCTGAGGGAGAAAGAATTTTTTTTTAAAAGTCAGAAGCAATTATTTCTGCAGACCTTGCACAATACCCAAAAGTACTGAGGACAGACACATTTGAAGAGAAATTCTATTTTTCTTGCCAGCTTTCTGAATAGAATAGAATAGAATAGAATAGAATAGAATAGAATAGAATAGAATAGAATAGAATAGAATAGAATAGAATAGAATAGAATAGAATAGAATAGAATAACAGAGCTGGAAGGGACCTTGGAGGTCTTCTAGTCCAACCCCCTGCTTAGGCAGGAAATCTTACACCAGACAAATGGTTATCCAACATCTTCTTAAAAACTTCCAGTGTTGGAGCATTCACACCTTCTGGAGGCAAGTTGTTCCACTGATTAATTGTTCTAACTGTCAGGAAATTTCTCCTTAGTTCTAAGTTGCTTCTCTTCTTGATTAGTTTCCACCCATTGCTTCTTGTCCTGCCCTCAGGTGCTTTGGAGAATAGCTTGACTCCCTCTTCTTGGTGGCAGCCCCTGAGATATTGGAAGACTGTTATCATGTCTCCTCTAGTCCTTCTTTTCATTAAATTAGGCATACCCAGTTCCAGCAACCGTTCTTCATATGTTTTAACCTCCAGTCCCCTAATCATCTTGGTTGTTCTTCTCTGCCCTTTTTCTAGAGTCTCCACATCTTTTTTACATCGTGGTGACCAAAACTGGATGCAGTAGTCCAAGTGTGGCCTTACCAAGGCATTATAAAGTGGTATTAACACTGCCTCGCTGATGTCAGACTCTGGGAGGCTCCGGAGTCTGCACATAACTCCCAGATGGCCCTGGCCCCATCTCTGCCTCTGACGCAGAGCCCTCGTCCGAGCCTTCCCCAGACTCCTGGATTGGCCCAATTTGCTCCCCAGCGTCCTCACTGTCCGACTCTGCTGCCACCTCTGCAGGCCGCCGGCGGACCACAACACAATACTCCGTGTACACCTTAAAATTATTTGCTGCAGCCTGATATATTTGTCAGGCAGCACGGCACAAGAGCTGCCTTGTTTTGCTGGATCAAACTTAAGGTTTATCTATTGCAGCTAAAGAATTTCAGAATTGCAGACCATAAGGGAATCTATTCTTCGTCCAGGGTCAGTCTTCTTTGGTGGGTGCAGATTCTATAGAAGATCACAGAGTTGTTGTTTTTTTAAAAAAATGCATGGGTTTTGTAGATAGAAGTATTTGGTATGTCTAGTTTAATGAAAAGAGGAACCAGGGGTGACATGATAGCAGTCTTGCTATAGCTAAGGAGCTACCCCAAAGAAAAGAGGGGTCAACCTATTTTCCAAAGCATCTGAAGGCAGGAGAGGAAGCAATGGATGGAAACTAATCAAGGAGAGAACCAACCTAGAAATCAGGAGAAATTTCCTGATAGTGAGAACAATTAATCAACAATTAACTTGCCTTCAGAAATTGTGGGTGCTCCATCTCTGGAGGTTTTCAAGAAGAGATTGGACTTTTCGTTTGAAATGGTATAGGACTGTGAAGGTGAATCTATGGCACGCGTGCTGGAAGTGACATGCAGAGTCATCTCTTCGGGCACGCTAGCCATCACCCAATGCTCTTCCGGATTCCGGTGGGCACATGCGCACCGGCCAGCAGGTCTTCGCATGCATGGGAGCACTGGAAACCAGAAGAGCAGCTCCCTGGCACGCATGTGCATGCTGGGAAGCTGAGCTTCCGGTTTCCAGTGCACACATGCGTGTTGGCCAGCTGGTCTTCGCACACGGATGCGTGCCAGAAACTGGAAGACTAGGTGACTGGTGTGCATGAGCACACCGGAAGCTCATGTTCTTGGCACATGCAGGCACGCCAGGAAGCTGCTCTTCCGCTTTCCGGTGCTCCCCCACGCTTGTGTGTGCGCTCCCGTTTCAGCACTCAGTGCCAAAAAGGTTCGCCAACACTGGCATAGGATCTCCTGCTTGAGAAGGGATTAGAAGATGTCCAAAGTCACTTCCAACCCTGTTATTCTGGTGCTAACAGATAACCACTCAAAATCATCAATTTTATTTAATACCTTATCACTGTTATCTGCTCTTTATCGGCTAGACATACAGAAATATGGGCATGCTAACATTTGCTGGAGATATGTGTCTAAATAAACGCTTATTAAATAACCCAGTTAGACTAAATTTGTGAAGCTTCTGTCATCAATTTGGGACTTTTCTTTTTCTTTTTGGCTGTTACAGTCAAAGTTGGCTACTTCCCAACTTTCTGCGGTTTCTTCATCCCCCGCTTATTGAAATATGAGCACAAGTCTTCACTGCTGAACATCCTTCGTTTTTCTTTTGTTTGAGAACTCTCCAGAAGCACATGAGATCCTCCAGCCAAGATGTTGTGGCTTTGCAAAGGAATTGTAGGGGATGGGAAGTGACTCAAGGGCTGTAGCCAGCAAAGAAAAATGGATAAATGTTGTAACTTCTGAAAGAAGAACTGGACAGTTGTCGTTGAAAGTTATTTTTCCCCACGCAAGATGTCAGGCACGAAGAATCAGCAACATATGTTATATTGCTGTTAAGATTTATTCTTCAAGTCTATGGACAAGAATCTAGCCACATACTAAATTGACGCTGAAAAAGTCAATGGAATTCACGAGAGGCTGGACTTAGACCATTTATGGAAACGCAAAGATTCTAGGCTGATGACTTGCTTAACTCCATCCACCGGCTCTTCGTGCTCTTCACCTACACTAGCTGCCCAAATGAGTCAGTGTGAAATGTAAAATTTGTTACTACCGGTTCTGTGGGCGTGGCTTGGTGGTGGTGGTAATATGACTGAGTGGGCATGGCCAACTTTTTTTTTTTTTTACTTTTAAAACCATTTTTTCTACAGCTGAAGAGATTGTAAAAAAAATGCTTTTAAAGCCTCTGACGATCCCAGCTGGCTTGCCTGATTGGTAGAGGCTTTCTTTTGTGTTAAAGCCTCTGATGATCCCAGCTGAGCCACGCGATCATCAGAGGCTTTTTTTTTTACTTTTAAAAGCATTTTTTCGGCCAAAGAGGTTGTAGAAAAAATGCTTTTAAAAATAAAAAAAAAAAGCCTCTGATGATTGCACAGCTCAGCTGGGCAATGGAGGGGTGGGGCAGGGATTTTTGCTACCGGTTCTCTGAACCACCCGCCACCATCGCTACCGGATTGGGTGATCTGGTCCGAACTGGGAGCATTTCACCCCTGAAATGAATGAATGCTGTAAGGAGCTGAGCCTTTTTAAGGGGCGGGGGGGAAGAAGAACAAGAGAGACTAACAGACTAACAGAGTTGGAAGGGACCTTGGAGGTCTTCTAGCCCAACCTCTTGCCCAGACAGAAAACCCTATACCAGTGTTAGCAAATTTTTCAGCACCGACTGTCGAAATGGGAGTGCCAGAAACAGGAAGACCAGCTCTCTGGCGCACATGTGCTGGAGCGTGGGAAACCAGAAGAGCTCAGCTTCTGTTTTCCGGTATGCGAATGCGTGCCGGTCACCTGGTCTTCTGGTTTCTGGTGCGCATGCGCACGCGAAGACCAGCTGGGCAGTGCTCAAGTGCGCACCGGAACCCGGAAGAGCAATGAGTGATGGTTGCCATTCCTGGAGAGATGGCTGTGTGTGCCACTTCTGGCATGTGTGCCATAGGTTCGCCATCACGGCCCTATATCATTTCAGAAAGAGTTATTCTATCAGTTGAAAAAAAAAATCAGTACAGTACAGATTAACAGTGAATGGGCTATAGGTCAGTGTTGTTTCAGTGCTGCCATTTTCAAAATAGGGAACAAGACGGGTTTGTTCCAGGGGTGAAATACAACAGGTTCTGACAGGTTCTGGAGAACCGGTAGCGGAAATTTTGAGTAGTTCAAAGAACTGGCAAATACCACCTCTGGCTGGCCCCAGTGAGGTGGGAATGGAGATTTTGCAGTATCCTTCGCCTGGAGTGGGGAGATTTTGCAGTATCCTTCCCCTGCCAAGTCCACCAAGCCACGCCCACCAAGCCACACCACGCCCACCAAGCCACACCCACAGTGTGGATAGTAAAAAAATTGGAATTCCACCACTGGTTTGTTCCCTATTTTGAAACGAACCTGACTTGTTCCCTATTTTGAAATGATATCATACAAGCCTGAAATGACATCATACAAGCCTGACATCATAAATAACACGAATTATGTTATTTGCCTAATTCAGAACACGGTGCAAATTTTCTACATCTGCAAATTGTTCTCGGAACGACGTGACACTAATGACATATTTTTGAGCCCTTTATGACATAATGCCAAGGGGCGCACTTTGCCCTAAGGATATCGCAAAGTCTCTCTTGCACATTGACACCCATGGAGATACTGCTTGGATTTAAAGATACAAATTTCCGATAGCATAAATCAACTTACACATCACTCTGAGTCGTGTAGATGTGATCAAAGAGGGACTCTATGGCCATCCATTTTACAGGTATTCGACCCTGTTGGAAGAGAGAGAAAAAAAATATTTCTTGTTGCAAGTACATCTGAATGTTACTTCTAAAGCCACAATCCTCCAACACTCCTTTTTTTTTTTAATCCCTCGTTTTCCGTTTCTCTCATTGCTTTTTCTCAGAGGCAAGTTAGTTGAGTTTGAGGTGATAGATTTTCCAGTTACACTAACTTGGCCAAGCTAAGATTCAAATGTTGCGATATGCAGAATTGCCTCAGTTATCTAGTCATGAGAATTGATATGAGATCTAGTTATGAGATCTATCTATATCTATCTATCTATCTATCTATCTATCTATCTATCTATCTATCTATCATCTATCTATCTATCTATCTATCTATCTATCTATCTATCTATCTACCTACCTAGCTACCTACCTATCTTCCTTCCTTCTTGTCTGTCTATCTATCTATGTTTCTATCTTCCATCTATCATCTATCTATCTATCTATCTATCTATCTATCTATCTATCTATCTATCTATCTATCTATCTTTCTATCATCTATCTATCCTATCTTCCTTCCTTCCTTCTTGTCTGTCTGTCTGTCTATCTATGTATCTATCTTCCATCTATCTATCTATCTATCTATGTATCTATCTATGTATCTTTGTATCTATCTATCTATCTATCTATCTATCTATCTATCTATCTATCTATCTATCTATCTATCTATCTATCTATCTTCCTTCCTTCTTGTCCGTCTATCTATGTTTCTATCTTCTATCTATCTCTCTATCTCTCTATCTCTCTACCTACCTACCTACCTATCTTTCTATCTAATTTTCCTTCTATTTTGTGTGGGGTGTGTGTGTGTGTGTGTCTGTCTGTCTGTCCGTTAACACTAGTTACAGTATGAAGAGTCTGACCCTCTTCCAAAAGCTATCCAAATAGTTGGTCCTCATGGCATCCGAGGGCAGAAAATCCCATTTTAACTTACGCGTTCTATAAAGTACTTACTTTTATTGGCTCTGAATCTTCCAGGATTCAAGTTTTGATGGATAAGCTCAAATTCTTAATGTTGTAAGGATGGCATTTAAAAAAAAAATTCTCCTGCTACATTACCTTATGTGTCTCCTATTTTTCCTCCTAGGTTTAAAAAAACCCCCCAAACTCTCATGCGATCATCTTCCCTCTATCATAGTTTTCCCTAAGAACAGTTCCAGCCCTTTTTTACACCACCACCCCCAGCTTTTCCAAATGTACAATATCCTTTTGGGGGTTACAGTGATGCAGTGCCCCTTCAAAATTCAATGGTCTAAGTCCCTCGCAGCTGTTGACAGATCCTTCCAATAAACAGATCATTGTGGCAAATAGATAATTGTCTTCCTCACCTTGCTCCTCTTGACATAAGAGTCCTCTTCATAAACGTCGCGAGACAAACCAAAGTCAGAAATCTTCATTTTACGCCCTTCGGCTACTAAGACATTCCTGGCTGCTAAATCACGATGAACAAGCTTAGGAGAAAAACACACACACAAAAGAAATTAACAGATGTATCCCACCATGGAAAAGTTCATGGAAATAGGTTGGGGATGAAGGGGAAGTCCATACCTTCATCTCGGCAAGGTACTGCATGCCACGGGAGATCTGCCACGCGAAGGAGATCAGGTCGCCCATAGTGAGAGCCCGCTCATCTGGATTTTCCAAGTAGCTGGAATTTCTGTTTGTGTCGCTTCCCATGTAGCTGGTTCCCACTTTCCGGCTTTCCCTTAGGAAACTCCGCAAGGAGCCATATTTCGCATACTCCACTATTAAGTATAAAGGCCCTGAGGTCAAACAAAGGGAGGAAAAGGGAGAAGTTCAATCAACTTGCCTTCAACAGATACACGTGCACACAAAAAAATAAAAAATGGCAAGGTCCTTATTTTTATTTTTTATTTTGCACCAGTTTCACACAGCTCACTTTCAGAAGTGTTAGTTGTTCAGAAGTATAGTTGGGGGATTACTTTCCAGGATGAGACTTTAGGGATTCAGACTTCCTTCCTTCCTTCCTTCCTTCCTTCCTTCCTTCCTTCCTTCCTTCCTTCCTTCCTTCCTTCCTTCCTTCCTCTCCCTCCCTCCTTCCTTCCCTCCCTGTCCTTCCTTCTTTCCTCTCTCCCTCCCTTCTTTCCTCCCCCTCCCTTCCTTCTGCCCTCCCTCCCTCCTTCCTTCCTCTCCCTCCCTCCTCCCTTCTTTCCTTCCTTCTGCCCTCCCTCCCTCCTTCCTTCCTCTCCCTCCCTCCTCCCTTCTTTCCTTCCTTCTGTCTTCCCTCCCTCCCTCCCTCTCTCTCCCTCCCTCCCTTCCCTGAATAAATGGTGCCTCCATTATAAACTCAAAATAACCAGATAAAACGCTCCTTAAAATCTCTAGGGCATCATTTGATCTGAGATCGAATTTGGGTTGGTCACTGGGACCAGAGGTTTTCTCTTCCAAGCTCATGCTGGAGTCCATCTTCAGGGAACTTCTCTCTTTTGGAATACATGCTTTGGGCTGTTCTATGAGTTGTGTTTATGTGGTGCTGGTAATTGGCTGTTGTTTCCTTGTGCTGCCAAGTCCTCAGCTCAGGGGTGAAATCCAGCAGGTTCTAGAGAACCAGTAGCGGAAATTTTGAGTTCGGAGAACCGGCAAATACCACCTCTGGCTGGCCCCAGAGTTGGATGGGAATGAAGATTTTGCAATATCCTTCCCCCAGGAGTGGGGAGGGAAAGGGGATTTTGCAGTATCCTTCCCCTGGAGTGGGGAGGGAATGGGGATTTTGAAGTATCCTTCCCCCAGGAGTGGGGAGGGAATGAAGATTTTGCAATATCCTTTCCCTGCCACGCCCACCAAGTCACACCATGCCTACCAAGCCACGCCCCCAGAACCAGTAGGGAAAATTTTTGAATTTCACCCCTGCCTCAGGTCCTTTGATTTGATAAGCTGGTGGTAATTCAGCACTCCTGTTGACTGACAAAGGACCTGTTTCCCAGGCTTCAATCATTTCCCTGGCTGTTTTTGAGCTGCTCGTCCAACAATCTTAGTAGTTGCGAAATTGAATGTGTGCCTTTCTTCATTGCAATGTAAGGCTACCATTCATCATTTGATCTGCTTGAAGTCATGTCCCACAAGGAACGTATGCACAATAAAAGCTTCCCTTGACTTTTGGAAATTACAGCTCAGTATTTGGTGGGCTACCAATAGGGGATACATTTCTAAGCTCTTCTCTACCATTTTTCATTTAGGAGGTTGACCTCTCGGGATCATCTTAAGTCAAAGGTGTCTTCATCAGTTTGGAAAGTAGCTGCCAGGAACAGAAGCCATAGCTCTAAGGCAGCGTTTCTCAATCTTGGCTACTTTAAGAAGGGTAGACCTCAACTCCCAGAATTCCCCAGCCGATCAGAATTCTGGGAGTTGAAGTCCGCCCAGCTTAAAGTTGCCAAGATTGAAAAACATTGCTTTTAAGACATTCCCAGTAGCGGCTCTACATCTTCCCAATCACGGTTTGTTATCTCAATCCAGCACTCTGCACAGCTCTGCTAAACAGATATTCCCGATCAACTATGGATCTAGGAAATGCAACACAGCATAAACCAGCAGAGATCCTCACCAGGCAAGATTAGAAATAATACAACAATTGCCTAAGAATGGACGTGGCTTAGAAATGGAGAATCTGAAGCCACTGCTCATGGCAGCAATTTCAGTAGTCCAGATAAAGAAGACCACGCTACCCACAGTTCAGTGGTGGGTTGCCCTGACCGGTTCGCAAGAACTGGTAGTAAAACCAGCAGGAGGCCCCGCCCACTGCCCCGGATGTCGTCATTGGCGATCTGCGCATTCCGAACTGGTAGTAAAGGTAAGTAGAACCCACCCCTGCCACAGTTAACAACGCTGGTTCTTCCTAGGCAACTCTAGATTTTAAACTCTTGAATATTTTGCCCAGCCAGGAATTTAAAAAGAGTAAAATTTCCCAGGATGATTTCTTTTTAAAAGAAATAGACCATGTCTCTTAACTTTTTTCCTTCTTCTTCTCTTCCTACCATTGGTGAGAATGATCAACCAGCGGAACAGAAGTTGCCTTCAGAAGTTGTGGGTGCTCCTATCACTGGAGATTTTCGAGAAGAGACTGGACCGCCGTTGGTCTGGAATGCTATAGGATCACCTGCTCGAGCAGGATGTTGGACTAGAAGACCTCCAAAGACCCCTTTCAAACTCTGTCCTTCTATGTTCTATAGTGGTCCTTCCCTCATTCCTCCATTTCTGCTCTTAAGTTTACTCGTTCTCTCTTGCTCATCCTTTTACTCCAGGAATCAAAATTCTCTAGAAATCAAATCAAATACTTACCGTCCTGGCTACAAGCACCATACAGCCTGATGACGTGAGGATGGTTCACCTGTTTTAAAAGGTTGAACTCAGAATGTAAATCCCGGAGCTCACTTGAAGAAGCATTTTCTGTGGAACAGAGCAGGAAGAGACCACTTATTAAGGGACCCCCAACTATGGCTTGCTTACTTACTTACTTACTTACTTACTTACTTACTTATTTGTCAAGCATGTATAAGATAACAGATACTGTATAAGCATAAACATGATTATGAATACAGGAAATGGATACAAATAAATGGGGGCAGTAGGACAGGGATGGTAGGCACGTTGGTGGACTTATGCACGCCCCTTACAGACCTCTTAGGAATCTCTAAGCAGTTTATAGAGTCAGCCATCTTGCCCCCAACAATCTTGGTCCTCATTTTACCGACCTCGGAAGGATGGAAAACTGAGTCAACCTTGAGCTGGTAAGAATCAAACTGCTGAACTGCTGGTAGTCGGCAGTCGGCAGTCAGCAGAATTAGTCTGCAATACTGCATTCTGACCACTGCGCCACCGTGGCTCATAACTCCGCTTTCTACAATGATCTTCAAAGGACAAGAGCTTGAAGCATGGTGTCTAATCGTTTTTATTATAGTTTTGTGTCCTCCCTTTTGAACAATGTGATATGAGCCATGTCAGCCTGACGGATAATTCAGCAACGAGGCTATACATCCCTGGCAGGTGTAGAGGTGAACAATTCCTGAGCACTACACAATCTTTAACTGTTATCCAAATGCCAAAGAAGGATGACTAACTCACAGTAATTACAAGGGGGAAGAGTACCAACACATTTGGGTGGAAAGTGACACATCTATTTAAACTTTTTTCCAGGAAAGCTGCATTGGTGATTATATTTATTAGAGGTTAAAGAAAGAATAGGCACAGGGAAGTTAAACAGGGGAGTTTAGAAAGGACAACTGGGAAAAATTGGAAAGCACAATTTTGATTTGGATAGAAATCAAACTTGTTTAAGCCCAAGGATTGGGATCAACAGACATATTTGCTTAGATTTTTTACACTTCCATAGGTACACTCCTATTAATTAGCTGGGATTCATAGTAAAAGATAGTTATATTTTATTTCATTAAAGAGCCTTGGTACTACAGGGGTTTAAGGCACCCTGTTATTAAGCTGGTTATTAAGACCAGCTGCCTGCAATTACTGCAGGGTTCGAATCTCGCCAAGGCTCAAGGTTGACTCAGCCTTCCATCCTTTCTAAGGTAGGTGAAATGAGGACCCAGTTTGTGGGGGCAATAAGCTGACTTTGTATAAATATACAAAAGGATGAAGGCTATTGCTGAGCACATTGTAAGCCGCCCTGAGTCTTCGGAGAAGGGCAGCATATAAATCAAATAAAAAAAAAAAAAAGTATGAACAGGAACAATATAAAAAAAAAACATAGACAGTAAATCAGGGAAATCAAATCTTATTATGAAGTTGGTTGAAGACAAAAGGGCCACCAGATTCCTCAATTGACAAGCTACTACAGTCACACTGGATTGTGGGTTCATACAATATCAAATGTTTCAGGGCATATGGAGCACTGTAAAAGAAAGCACAACAATGTATGGCGTAAGATGGGACCTGCCAGAGGGAAAGCGGAAGCAGGGTAGACCACCCAAAACTTGGTGTCAGACGTTCAAAGATGACTTATGGACAGAGGACATCAAATGGGAAGATGCTGAAGATGCCGCCAGGGATAAGATTCATTGGCAGAAGCTAACTGCCTTGTGCACTTCGTCCGAAAGGAACCAATGACATGGATGCTATCTCTCAGACTCACATGGTTAGGGAATGCAGTGGCTCATGTTGTTAGGATGCTGGCTAATCAGCAATCAGCAAGCCTGCGTTTGAGACCAGAGGCCTGCTGTAGGTCAGGGTGAGCTCCTGTCATTGGCTCCAGCTCTTGCTGATTTAGCTGTCTTGCCTCTGTCAGAGCCTGAATCCGCAGAGGAGGATGGACCAGAGCTGGGGCAGATGGGAGGTCGAGGGGGAAGCCTCATTGGCTTCGGAGGAATGTGGGGAGGAGCAGGACAGGCAGCCCCAGACCCCTCAGGCTTGGGATGGCTTGCCCTCAGTGAGGAATGGGGGCAGGACGACAGAGAGGGCAGGCAGTGGAGATGAAGAGCGACGGAGCTCAGGCGATGAGTAAGGTCCAGCCCTTCCTGATACCTGAGCACGGAGAGTGGAGAGGAGACGGGAACAATGCAGGCTGACCTGAAGATTCTGGAGAGAGCACCCCACCCTTCTTCACAAGGCACACCTGGGGACTGAGACTTAAGGAGATGCTGTGGGGAGGGGCATTTGTTAGGAACAAACACTGAATTGTGGAGTTTTGTGTGCCGTTGCCGACGTCTAGAGTTTGCAGGACTTCTTGCCTTGTTCCTTGCTTCGTGGACTTCGTCTTGTTCCTTGCTTCGTGGACTCTTTGCTTTCTTCCTTGCTCCATGGATTTATTGCCTTGTTCCTTTGCCTCGCTGGACTTCTCGCTTTGCAGCCACTGTGCTAACAGCGTTTTGCTGGACTCCTCGCAGCCAGAGGCAGCTGCTGTGTGTGTGTGTGTGTGTGTGTGTGTGTGTGTGTGTGTGTGTGAGAGAGAGAGAGAGAGAGAGAGAGAGAGAGAGAGAGAGAGAGAGAGAGAGAGAGAGAGAGAGAGAGAGAGAGAGAGAGAATGCTTTGCTCCAGGACTTAGCAGAAACGTGGGAGCATTGGGGGGAAAGTTGGAGCAATAAAGGGAAGTTTTGAACTATTAGCTGGCTGTGTTGCCTTCATGCCTGGGTCCTGGGTCATCACACTAGCAATTTGAAAGCGAGTAATCGCAAGTAGATAGATAGGTACCACTTTGGTGAGAACATTAATGGGGAAACACAAAAGGTCCAGGGGCCCCCCTGGAAAACGCTGGTGTCACCGGCTAATCCTTTCAACCCAGAAGCACTTCAGTGTTTCTGACACAAAAGCAGCCAGTTTGTTTTTTCCAAATTATTGTCAGAATTTCCCAGGGAGAACCTACCTTTCAACATTTTCACCGCTACGGTGGTGTAGCCAGCTTTGCCCTTGAGTCGGAAAGCTGTCGCTTTGACAACTTTTCCAAATTCTCCCTCGCCAAGAGTCTTGCCGAGCACCAGGTTCTTCCGAGGAAATTCCCACTTAGGATCTTCCTATAGAGAAAAGGAAGAGGAGAAAGATTAAACAAAACAAAAACTGAGCAACATCTGGTAGGTGCATCTGCTAGCTGTATCTTTCTCTCTTTCAGACCACAAGATTAATATTGTTGAAGGGTCCTTGTTGCACTGATGATATGACTTAGTGGGATAATGAAACGTCAATCCTAATCCAACTCCCTGCTCAAGCGGGAGACCTTATACCATTTCAGACAGATATACCACTGTCCAATCCAGTGGTGAAATCCAAATTTTTTTACTATCGGTTCTGTGTATGTGGCTTGGTGGGCGTGGCAGGGGAAGGATACTGCAAAATCTCCATTCCCACCCCACTCTGGAGCCAGCCAGAGGTGATATTTGCTGGTTCTCCAAACTGCTCAAAATTTCCGCTACTGGTTCTCCAGAACCTGTCAGAACCTGCTGGATTTCACCCACCCCCGGTCCAATCTCTTCTTAAAAACCTTCAGTGATGGAACACCCTCAACTTCTGGTGGCAAGGTGTTCCACTGGTTTATTGTCCTGTTAGAAAGTTTCTCCTTACTTCCAGGTTGCTTCTGCTACTCTAATTACTGAATGTTTTCTGAACGTAGGCAGAAGATAGCAGTAGAACACCAGAGTAATGCTATAATAATCATGATTAGTGATTTAAACAAAAAGGAAAACCAGTGCGGTTTTATACAGGCCAAATAAAAATGAGTAAATGTCTGATACACACATCCCCACTATTGCACTGACATTAAATATAAACCAGTCAACCACACATATCAAAGGATCTTTTAAATGCAGATTTCTAAAGCTGAAAAAGAACATTGCAGGTTTTTAAACCAAGAAAGAGCTTTGCACTGTCTAGTTTAGACAGTTTAGTTTGCCTAGAGAAGGTAGAAGAGGGGAAAAAATAGAACATAGAAGAACAGAGTTGGAAGGGACCTTGGAGGTCTTCTAGTCCAACCCCCTGCTCAAGCAGGAGACTCTATACCAGGGGTGTCAAACTCAATTTCATTGAGGGCCGTATCAGGGTTGTGTTTGATCTCAGAGGGCTGAGGGTGGTCGGGTGGGCATGGCCAGGGTGGGCGTGGCCAGGGTGGGTGTGGCCAGCTCGACATCACTCGTCGAGGCTCTGTTTTCCACTGCGATGGCCTCCTGCAGCCCTCTGCCAGCAAAAACGGAGTGTGCGGCTCAGGGGTGGGTTCTACTTACCTTTACTACCATTTCGCATCGTGCTTAGTTCGCATGCACAGATCACCTTTGATGACGTCCAGGTCAGTGGGTGGAGCCTCCTGCCAGTTTTACTATTGGTTCTTGTGAACTGGTCTGAACCGGGGGCAACCCACCACTGGTGCAGCCTTCCTGGGCCTCTGTTTTCATTGGCAGAGGGCTGCAGGAGGCCATCGCAGCCGAAAATGGAGCCCGGGTGTGGCCTCCCTGAGCTCCATTTTTGCTGGTAGAGGCACTAGGGGCTGGTTCTTCACTGTTTCCAGGGCAGCCCTGCGGGTCAGATCTAAACACCCTGCGGGCCAGATCCGGCCCCCAGGCCTTGAGTTTGACACTCCTGCTCTATACTATTTGAGATAAATGGTTGTCCAGTCTCTATTTGAAAGCTGAAAACTAAATTAGGGCAGCCGATGATCAAAAACTCCAACGGAGGCGATTGGATCACAGGATTCTGCTTAGAAACTGGACAGCACCACCACCCTTGGTGGCCCATGGTAACTACAACATATTATGACTTACAACTATAGGTCCCCATAGCACAACATGGTAGACCTAGATTTACCTATTCTCAGGGGTAGGCCGCTACGGGTTCGCCTGGGTTCGGGAGAACCCGTAGCTAATGCTATGGCTGCTTCCAAGAACCTCCAAATCCCACCCTTGGCTAGCCCCACCCATTCCATCCCATCCCGCCCCTCCCACTCCACCCCAGCCCTCCCCTCCCAGGAGTCTCCATGCAGCCCATTTTGGATGCGAGATAAGTGCAGGGCCCGTAGGCTCACGGAGGGGGGAAAACAGTCCTCCCGGAAGTTCCGGAAGGCCAGAAATAAGCCATTTGGCTTATAAGAGCCTTGGTACTACAGTGGTTTAAAGCACCCTGTTATTAACACAGCTGCCTGCAATTTACTGCTGGTTCGAATCTCTCCAAGGCTCAAGGTTGACTCAGCCTTCCATCCTTTCTAAGGTAGGTTAAATGAGGACCCAGTTTGTGGGGGCAATAAGCTGACTTTGTATAAATATACAAAAGTATGAAGGCTATTGCTTAACGCACTGTAAGCCGCCCTGAGTCTCCGGAGAAGGGCGGCATATAAATCAAATTAAAAAAAAAAAAAAAAAAAAAATTTCCAGCCTCTGGAGCCCTGGGGAGGCAGTTTTCGCCCTCCCAGAGGCTCGAGGAAAGCCTCCAGAGCCTGGGGAAGGCGAAAACATCCCCCTCCCCACCATGGTGCAGGAGGCCAACTAGGCCACGCCCACCATGGCCACACCCACCCAGCCACTGGGCAAAGAACCCATTGCTGAAATTTTTGAAGCCCACCCCTGCCTAAACTTAAAGGTTGAGATCCATGGCCCGAGATGAAAATAGGGGGAGGGAAATAAAATAAAAACAGGACATAACCACAAGAAAGTGGTCCTGTCTTTGGGATAAAGAGCTGTGGATCTAGTATTTATACCAGACTTGGCCAAATTAAGAGGGTTGTTGTTAAAACACACAGTCCACGATGGTTGATTGGAAGAGTTCCCAGGTCTACATTTTGCAACTGCAGAAGGCTTGACAGCTAACCCATAAGACCGGGAGAACTTAACATTTATAAATAGTAGGTGACAATTATGCTGGAATCTGCCTAAATTCTCTCAGTATTCTTGGTGCCAACAGGGTGTTTGTAAATACACTTTGTGTTGATTTATGGAACTCGAAGGGGAAGGACGATTCTTTTGAGAAGCCACCTTATTCATCCTAGACAATCGCTTTTCTGTTCTGGGAAGCTACTCATAAATACAAACAAATAACATACAAGGCTTCCATGGAAAAAAATCTGCTTTTAATACCTAAATACTTATGGTTTGCACTTTGGGCTGTTTATTTATTTTTATTTTATTTTAATTTTATTATTATTCATATTTCTATGCCGCCCACTCTCCGAGGACTCTGGGCGGCTTACACCAAAGACAGTATACTAAATAGCATATTGTCCCCAACAATCTGGGTCCTCATTTTACCCACCTTGGAAGGATGGAAGGCTGAGTCAACTTTGAGCCAGTGAGATTTGATCCACTGATCTGCTGAACTAGCAATCAGCTGAAGTAGCTGCAGTACTGCACTCTAACCACTGCACCACCTCAGCTCTTAATGTTTTCTTTTTCTTTTTTTCACTTTGTAATTGAGTTGGTTACAGTTCTTATTATTATTCCTAAAACCTTGCATAAGTCCTGGATTTACGACCACGATTGAGCCCAATATTTGTGATGGCAAGCGAGACAGTCATAAATACAACTCAGTTGCCAAGTGTCTGAATTTTGATCACATAACCATGAGGATGCTGCTATGGTTGTTAAGTGTGAAAAAAAGTTATAAGTCAGTTTTTTTCAATGACTACGCCAGCACTGCTGATGTTACCTATTTTGGTAATGAAACGTCTGCAAGAAAATAAGCAAGCTCAGAGAGGGCCCCTCATTTCAACTCTGACTCCAAATATATGGTTCTACAGGAAAAACTAAATGCACAGGTACAGGGTATGTGGTACCTTGCTCAATAGTAGTAACTGTGAGAGGGATCTTAAGAGTCCTAGTGGACAACCATTTAAATATGAGCCAGCCGGGTGCTGCAGCTGCCAAAAAAAACAACACAGTCCTAGGCTGCATAAACAGAGGGATAGAATCAAGATCACGTGAACTGTTAATACCACTTTATAATGCCTTGGTAAGGCCACACTTGGAATCCTGCATCCAGTTTTGGTTGCCATGATGTAAAAAAGATGTGGAGACTCTAGAAAGAGTGCAGAGAAGAGCAACAAAGATGATTGGGGGACTGGAGGCTAAAACATATGAAGAACGGTTTCAGGAACTGGGTATGTCTAGTTTAATGAAGAGAAAGACTAGGGGAGACATGATAGCAGTCTTCCAATATCTCAGGGGCTGCCACAAAGAAGAGGGAGTCAAGCTATTCTCCAAAGCACCTGAGGGCAGGACAAGCAGCAATGGGTGGAAACTAATCAAGGAGGGAAGCAACCTAGAACTAAGGAGAAATTTCCTGACAGTTAGAACAATTAAACAGTGGAACAACTTGCCTCCAGAAGTTGTAGATGCTCCAACATTGGAAGTTTTTAAGAAGATGTTGGATAACCATTTGTCTGAAGTGGTGTAGGGTTTCCTGCTTAAGCAGGGGGTTGGACTAGAAGACCTCCAAGGTCCCTTCCAACTCTGTTGTTCTATTCTATTCTATTCTATTCTATTCTATTCTATTCTATTCTATTCTATTCTATTCTATTCTATTCTATTCTATTCTATTCTATTCTATCCTATCCTCTCCTCTCCTCTCCTCTCCTCTATTGGTCATGCAGTTGTACCACCGACCTCTTGAAAAATTAAGGAAGATTGAGAAGACGAACAACTAACAAGTGTGCAAACTTAACACCTAATACAGTCTGGAAATGAAGTTGGAGCGAAGTCCTTGTGCCTTCACCATTTGGGGGCTATTTATAGAGCTAAGTATTGTAAAGCAAACAGTTTTTGTGTGTGTGTGTGTGTGTGTGCTTTCTTTCTCTGTGTGTCATTCAAGACACAAATGGGTGACTATGACAACCGGATCCCAATTTGCTTCTTAAAAACCAAATCAAATCTTGCTTTCATTTAAACAATGACATTTTTTTTTCTCCAGCGAAGAACTAAATTTGATATATCGCACTGGCACAGTTGTTAGCAGCTGCAAGGGGAAATTGCTGGCTGAGGTTGCTAGGAAACATTAAAATAATTGATTGCAGGCTTCAGAAAAAAAATTAGTTAACTGTAATCCAATTGCTCCTTCCTGTAGAACAAGCAATCATGTGTTGTGCTCTCTATCAAAAAGCACATAACTAACAAATAAACTATTGTAATGAACAGAAACATGTGGGATGTTTGATGTTCATACGGGCTTAATATGGTCAGATCGCAAAATGCACATGGAAACCCGTGATTTGCAAATAATAACACCCAACTTTTGTTATAGAGCAGGGATGCCAAACTTGATTTCATTGAGGGCCACATCAGGGTTGTGTTTGACCTCCGGGGGCTGGGGTGGGCGTGGCCAAGGTGAACGTGGCCAGTTCGACATCACTCATGTCGTGGGCGCCTGTGGCAGCCCAAGCACTCTGCCCCTGAAAACAGGCTCCCGAGCTCCGTTTTCAGCTGCGATGGCCTCCTGCAGCCCTCTACCAGCAAAAGTGAAGGTTGGGAGGGCCACCCGCAGCCCTCCCTAGCTCAGTTTTGCCTGGCAGAGGCACTGTGGGCTGGCCTTTTGCTGTTTCCACGGTGGCTCTGTGGACCAGATCTAAGCACCCCACAGGCCGGATCTGGCCCCCAGGTCTTGAGTTTCACACTTCTGCTTTAAATAAGATGACCAATCATCCTCCTTTAGGGAGGACAGTCCTTCTTTTGTAAGTTCTGTCCTCTCTCAAAAAGCGTCCTCCTACACGTCCTCCTTTTCAATACTTGAAGACTAATCTGTAAATCTCCGTATTCGATCGATACCGAGGCAATCCGTTGCATGTGATGTGACGTATTTGTATTTGACATGATGATTCGTCAAGGCTCGGTACAGTGCGGCAAGACGCGATTACGAGATGCATGCGCTCCGCACAGGAGAATTGTTTTGAGAGTGCGTCGTGCACAAGTGGCTTTGTTTACTTCTTACCGAAACATGACATGGCACACACGCACATGTCCTCCTTCTCATTCTAAAAAAGTTGGTCACTTTACTTTAGACAATATTTCAGTCTTCCACCTAACATCTAATTGCGATCCATAAACATTCTGTTTAATCATATCAATGTATACTCAAATATTTTGTCCACCTAATGAGACGGAAGGACTCACTGGAGAAGAGCCTAATGCTGGGAAAGATTGAGGGCAAAAGAAGAAGGGGACGGCAGAGAACGAGGTGGCTCGATGGAGTCACTGAAGCAGTCGGCGTGAGCTTAAATGGACTCCAGAGGATGATAGAGGACAGGAAGGCCTGGTGGAACGTTGTCCATCAGGTCGCGATGGGTTGGACATGACTTTGCAACAACAAAATACCAATGTATTAACGCTAGGCCATGTTAGTTTTAAAGTTCCTGACTTCTTAATCCAATCCACTTTTTTCTAATGTTTGCTTTTAAGCCACCCATGAGGGAAAATAATTCTATTGATCAATCAGAAATAGAGGGGATAAATAAAACCTGTTAGCTGTTACATGCACACCTCCATTATATATTGAATTTTTAACCAACAGAAGAGATTATTTGTACCTGAGGGTTGCACTGATGATGTTACCTAGTTTGGTAATGAAGTGTCTGCAAGAAAACGCAAGGCTCAGAGCACCAAACACATTGAATTTTTATGTGCAGCTTTCTTTAAGGTACATTTAAAAAAAAAAAAAAAAGAATGGAAATACCCTGATATATGTATCTTTTAGAAACACAAACATCTCTTACACTGTTTTTTTTTTTATTTTAAAAAATGTGAATGCAGCCAGAAATTATGTTTTCCCCACCCACTCTGCATGTGCCTCTCTCAAGCAAATGCTTTATTGTATAAAATTTTGGCATGGAACACAATGGGAAATAAAGTCAAAGGAGTTGTTTGATTAAAGCTCACTAGATTGCATGGGAAAAATTAAAACTAAGATGCAGGTAGAGGGATTATTGCTGGAAAAAAATCTTTCCAGATGAAAAGATCTTTTTTGAATCAAGCTGACCATCCAGCCTGATTAGATCTCAGAGAGTCCGAGGTAGTTTTTGCTAGCTGTAGCTTTTCTACATCTTTCTATAGATTCAGGCAGGCAGGCAGACACGGACACATGATAGATAGATAGATAGATTCTAACCACTTTGCCACCACGGATGGATAGATATAGATGATGGATGGATATATGGAAGATAGGTAGGTAGGTAGGTAGGTAGGTAGGTAGGTAGGTAGGCAGATAGGTAGGTAGGTAGGTAGATAGATAGATAGATAGATGGATGGATGGATGGATGGATGGATGGATGGATGGATGGATGGATGGATGGATGGATGGGGATGGATGAATGGATGGATAGATAGATAGATGGCTAGACAGACAGATAAATGAATGGATGGATAGATAGATAGATAAATGGAAGAGATCGATAGATCGATAGATCGATAGATCGATCGATCGATAGATAGATCGATCGATCGATCGATAGATAGATAGATGGAAGATAGATAGATAGATGGATGAATAGATAGATAGATAGATGATAGATGATGGATGGATAGATGGATAGACAGACAGAGATAAATGAATGGATGGATGGATGGATGGATAGATAGATAGATAAGGTAAGATAGATAAATGGAAGATAGATAAATGGAAGATAGATAGATAGATAGATAGATAGATAGATAGATAGATAGATAGATAGATACTGTAGATAGGTAGATATTGTGGGTGGGTGGGTGGGTGGGTAGAAGGAGGGAGGGAGGGAAGGATAGATAAATAGATAGATAGATGATGGATGGATAGATGGATGGATAGACAGACAGAGAAATGACTGGATGGATGGATAGATGGATGGATGGATGGACAGACAGACAGACAGACAGACAGATATTGTGGGTGGGTGGAGAGAGAGACAGACAGGGAGAAAGAGAGAGGTGGGGGGGGGGCAGGCAGGCAGGCTGGCAGGCTGACAAGACAGACACACAGACAATTTTTTCCCAAAGGAATACAAATGAAGATACAAATGCCAAAGCTTTTCTAATGCATTTTGCACTTCAGTTTTTAAAACTAAAATGTAAATAAATTTGCCTGTTTGAAACTAGGGATTATTTTTGCTAAAAAAAAACCCACCACCCATACTTTAATCTTTCCTTAGAAAATCATGGTTGTTTAAAAAGAATAAAAAGAAAAGGCGTCACTGCAGTTTTAGACTAAGTATACATTAACATCAATAACACACATACACAGACTCTAATCTGCTTGAGAATAAACTCACGAACTGCTCTTGTTTCACAAGGAAAAATGCCTAGAAAAGTACTTCATCTATTTTTATCCCCAAATAGTAAGCCGAGATTTACCAGTGATCTTTCTGAAACTTGGTTAGTGCATTTTACTTGGTACCGAGCAGTGGTGTGCCAGAACTAATATGGGCGGTAAAGAGCCGGTTAATGAATCCTTCCAAAAATCTTATTAAACCCTTTTTTTTCTTTACATTCCTTTCCTCCTCTACCTTCTACGTCCCTCAGTGTTGTGGCCCGTCAGCGGCCCGTGCAGCTGGTAGCTGATTCTGACAGTGAGGAGGCTGGTGTGGTGATTCGCCAGCAGCCTGTGCAGCTGGCACCCGAGTCAGACAATGAGGAGGCTGGAGAAGAGTTGGTGCCAGAGGCGGGGATTCAGCCAGGGCCTTCAGAACCTCCAGAAGCTCCCATAAGTGAAGAGGAAGAAGAGGAGGAGCCTCTTCTAAATGCATGGACGCGCAGGGCTGCCAAAAGGCAGGAATGCCTCCTCAGGAGGAGGTCTCCTCGAGAGTAAGGCTTGGGGTTAATTGGCCACTCCCCTAGCCTATTTAAGGAATGACGACGACTGAGCCATTTTGCAGAAAACAACTTTGTTCATATTCCTTCGTGTATTGACTCCAGAAACGTCTGATCGGCTCTTGCTTCTCTCTTTTCCTGCAAATTGCTTCTGGGCATTCTGCCAACCACAGTAAGCTTACGGTTAACTGAAAGACTGTACCTCAGAATTGAGTTATTATTTCTTGGACTCTTGGCAGCTGTTAATGAAGTTAAATTAACAGCCCTTATTCAGAAAAGACTAATTTAAACTGTACTTGTGTTTGAACAACTACTAAGTAAGCTCATTAGTAGTCCTTAATTAGTAAACTAAGGTTTGTACGGACTTTGTGTGTGTTGCGTTCTTTGTAGTCCGTAGCTGGGGCAGAACACTCAGGGACACGTTGTCTCGCAATGAGGCAAAGCCTCAAATAAAAGCCGGGCAAGATATCTTCCTCATTAAGCAGCTGAAAATGAAAAGAACTTACAGGTATTTTAAATGCATCTACTGACATTTGGTTCTCGGAGTCCATCGATGGTCGACGGACATTATTGGATGAGTAGTTGATGGGATAGGCCTGAGCCGGCCGCCGGAAGGTCATCTCTGCCGAGGCGATGGGTGTTTTTGGCGCATTCTTGTGGTACCGATGAATGAAGTAGGAAGAGAGGACAACCGAGATGATGAAGGAGAGCACGACACCACACGCAATCACCATTTTGCACATGATATCACAAAAAGGTTCTGCAAAGAAAGAAGAAATATCTGAGATTCTTCTCTTCGCTCCTGATCTTGCTCTCCCTTCTTATGATCCTGTAATCCCTTAATTTTGGGTAGGATGAGAAGCTGAGCATTTATTGGCCAGATGCCCTTCCTGACGCCTATGTGGAGTTCACAGCAGATTTCTTTTTTTTTTATTGAAAAAGTTTTACAATTACATTTTCTCCCCAATTCCCCCCCCAACCTTCCCAAACCCCCCTAACCCTCCCTAACCCCCTAACCCTCCCTAACCCCCCTAACCCTCCCCTCCCCCCCAGACTTCCTCAAATTGTAATCCAAATCAAAATCCCCTTTTTATAAAACTTGAACCCGTCCACCCCGTTTATTTTTCACATCTTCACAAAGTTCTATTATTATTCTATCCCTATATAATACTTTCAGTTAAAAGCTATCTGATATTTCCTAGTTTGATATTTATTCTGCACATAATCTATCCACTTTTTCCACTCCCATACATAAGTCTCTTGTGAGCGATCTTTTAAATATGCTGAAATCTTCGCCATCTCTGCAAAACTGGCCATCTTCAAAGTCCATTCTTCAATAGTAGGCATAGCTTCATTTTTCCAATATTGACCTATCAGTAATCTCGCTGCAGTTATCATATACAATATCAACTTTGTTTCACCCAATGTAAAACCCTTAGCTATACCTAATAAAAACAATTGTGGAGAAAACTGAATTTTTTTCTTCAAAATATTCTGCATAACCCACCAGATTTTTATCCAAAAAGCCTTCACTTTCTTACAAGTCCACCACACATGATAATATGTGGCATCTAGGCAATCACATCTCCAGCATTTTGGTTGAACATTAGGGTACATGCACGACAATTTCTTAGGATCTAAGTGCCATCTATAAAACATTTTGTAAAAATTTTCCCTCAAGTTCTGCAACTGTGTGAATTTAACATTCTGAACCCAATTTTTTCCCATGTTTCCAACATCACTGGTTCTGCAAAATTTTGTGCCCACTTTATCATGCAATCTTTAACCAATTCAGTTTCTGAATCCCTTTCTAACAAAACATTATAAACCCTTTTAATATGCGTTGGACCTTTCTCTTTTATATGTCTAACCAATTCTTCCTCATGCATCATTATACCAGTTTTTTGGTCCTCTTTCCATCTCAATTGAAGTTGATTATACTGTAACCAAGTTAAATTAATCCCTTCTTCCAACAGCGTTTCTAAAGTCTTCAGTTGCCATCTGCAAAAAGAACTTTATATAAAAACCCCCCGAGTGACATTATATTTGTATTCCACATGATATGACCAAGATCGAGCCATAACGGTATTTTGTAATCCCATTTGAGTCGGTGCTTCTTCCAAACTCTCATCAAAGAGTCTCTAAGTATGTGGCTTTTGAATACTTTATCCACTTTGTTCTCATAAAATAAGTAAGCATGCCAACCAAATTCAAGATCAAAACTTTCTATATTCAATATTCCAGTCTTTTTCCTTCCAAACCAATCACTTGCTTGCGTCAAAACTGCTGCTTCATAATATAATTGTAGGTTTGGAAGTTTAAGGCCTCCCCTTTCTGGAACATCTTGCATAATTTTCAGTTTAACTCTTGGCTTTTTCTCATTCCAGACAAACTTATTCAGTCCTCTTTGCCATTCTCTCAGTTGTTTATCACTTTTAAGCACCGGAATCATTTGAAACAAAAAAAGAAATCTTGGCAAAATGTTCATCTTAACTGCTGCTATTCTTCCAAGTAGAGACAGCTGCAATTTTTTCCAGGTCTCCATATCTTTCTGTACGTCTCGCCACAACACCTCATAATTATTTTGAAACAGTTTCGTATTTGATTCTGCAACCTGAACTCCTAGATATTTAACCTTTGGTACTATCTCAAAACCTGCCTTGCTTTCAAGTTCCTGTTTTCGATCTTGTGTCATATTTTTAACTATCATCTTAGTTTTTTTCTGGTTCAATCTAAATCCTGATACTGTACCATATTGTTCTATAATGTCTTTCATCTGGATTATTGATTCCATCGGCTGTGGTAGGGTAACAACCAGATCGTCTGCAAATGCCCTTATTCTGTATTCCTCTTGCCTTATCACTATTCCTTTCAAAGTGCTCGAGTCGCGTATTGTATTCAACAAGACTTCTAATGTTAAAATAAATAACAATGGGGATAATGGACAACCTTGTCTTGTTCCTTTTTCAATATTAAAGTCTGTTGTCAAACTTCCATTAATAATAATCTGTGCCTTTTGTTCTTGATAAATTGCTGAAACCGCCTGTATAAATTGATCCCCAAAGTCCATCTTTTTTAAAGTCTTTAATAGAAAGTTCCAATCCACTCTATCAAAGGCCTTCTCCGCATCCAAGAAAACCAGCACTGCAGGGATCTGTTTGTTCTTCTCGAGATATTCCAATAAATCTATAACTTGCCTTACATTATCCTTCATGCATCTGCCTTCTATAAATCCTGCTTGATCACAATGAATCACCTCTTGTATAACTGGCATCAACCTGTTGGCTAATACTTTTGCAAATATTTTATAGTCATTATTCAGAAGTGATATTGGTCTAAAATTCTCAGGTTTTTTTAGGACCTATTTGCTCTTTCGGTATCAATGAAATATAAGCTGTTTTCCATGATGGGGGTATTTTACCCCCTTGTTTTATACTACAAAATAGATCTTTAAGATGTTCAATCATTTCTGCTTGTAAAGTTTTATAGTACACCGCAGTTAAACCATCCGTCCCAGGAGCTTTAGCTGTTTTCAATTGTTTAATTGCGGCAATAATCTCCTCAGCTGTTATAAGATGATTCATTCTCTCCTTTTGTTGATTAGTAATTTTTTTGACTCTTTTATTTTCTAGATATTTCTCTATAAGTCCATTCTGTGTATCATCTTTGGCATATAATTTAGTATAATAATCTACAAAAACTTCTTTAATTAATTTTTGTTGAGAAATTTCCTTCCCTCCAGTATCAATACTATCAATGATCCGTGTACTCTGCTTCTTCCTTAGTGTATAAGCCAACCATCTGCCCAGTTTATTAGCGTTACAAAATGTGTTATGTTTCGCAAATTGTAAATTTGTTGCTGTTTGTTCCGCCATAAGCATTTGAAATTGATCTTTCAGAAGTTTTATAGCTCCTCGTATTCTTTCATCTGTTGGGTTTTTTATAAGTAACTGTTCTTTGTTCTTTATTTCTGCTTCCATTTCAGATCTTTTCTTTTGTTGATTTAATTTGTGTTTAGAGTTCATATGGATGAGTACCCCTCTCATATACACTTTACTCGCATCCCACACAATTTCAATAGGGGTACCTTTATTCAAGTTCATTTCAAAAAATTCTTTCATCTGCTTTTTAAGTTCTGTTATGTTCTTTTCATATCTAAACAGATTTTCATTTAATCTCCATGATCGTCTCTCATTCTTTCCCATCTCAATTTCTATCCATACCGGGCTATGGTCAGTTAAAGTCCTTGGAAAAATCTTTGTTCTTTTTGTTTTTACAAGTAGGTCAGCTGATAGTAAAATAAAATCAATCCTAGAAAAGGATCTGTGTCTATCTGAAAAAAAAGTAAAGTCCAATTCTTTTGGGTTATGTATTCTCCAAATATCTTTTAATTCCAAATCTTCTTTCGTATCAAAAAAAGTCTGTGGTAGTCTAATCCTTGACTTCGCCGAACTCTTTTTATCTATTTTAGAGTCAATTACTCCATTCCAATCTCCCATAATTAAAATAGATCTATAGTCCCATTGCAATATTTTAGAATGCAAAGTTTTGTAAAAAGTGTCCTGTTGTTGATTAGGAGCATACATTCCAATCACTAGAATTGGGCCACTTGCTGTGTGCAGTTCAATTGCTATAAACCTACCACATTCATCTGCTTCTATAATTTTAGCTGACAGTCTTTTATTTATATAAATAACCACACCATTCTTTTTTGAAGCTATAAAATGTGTTCCTAATCTTGAATTTATCAGATATTTTTGGTTTTGTGTTCTAACATGAGTTTCTTGTAAACAAATTATATCATTATATAATGATATTATATAATTATATCAGTGCTGAAAAGTTTTGCCATCACTGTGCCAGAACATCCAGCAATACGAGAGACTCACAACTTTAGACTTACCCCTGATATCATCTTTCGCACAGTAACAGCTTATTCCTGGAAAGCAGTGACAAACGCCATGTCCTGCCTTGATTCCAGTCCCATTAATTCCTTTCTGATGACCTCCAATAATGTTGGTTTCTAAATCAAAAGACAGATTGAAATAAGTTTAAACCGAGGCACAACGTTCAGTACCAAATGGCGTTTTCCTAATGAATATTTGAAACGTTCGCATATCAAAACAGCTGAAGCAAGTCTGAGTGAGAAAACTGGCATCTAACAGATTAACAGAGTCGGAAGGGATCTTGTAGATCATCTAGTCTAACCCCCTGCCTGAGCAGGAGACTCTACACTGTTTCTGACAGATGGCTGTCCAGTCTCTTCTTGAAAGCTTCCCGTGATGAAGTTCCCACAACTTCTGCAGGCAACTTCTGTTCCATAGGTTGATTGTTTGATTATTCTCACTGTCAGAAAATTCCTCCTCTAGGTTGAATCTCTCCTTGTTCACTCCTTCCTTTTTTTCCCCCCAAAAGGCAACTGAACTTTCTGTTTTTTCTCTGAAGATATTTTGCTTCTTATCCAAGAAGTTTCTTCAGCTCTTCAAGCAGTTATCCATCCAATCATTCCTCTCACCTGATCAGTCTTACCTGAACTCAAAGTCATCCACCAGATGCTATCACCTGTTGACTTAGGCATGGAAAGAAACCAAACAGGTATCAAAGCCAATAGTAATTTTTTTAAAAAAAGTTCGGATCCCATACTTGTGCAATCTTGAGGGCAGACTCTCTTATCTTTGTTTTCTACAGCATCGCAAATGCCGTCCGGACATGTCTTGATGCTTGGAGTACAGGTGGAGTAGTTGGTGGTTATTCCTAAAAAACAGAACAGGGTATCTGAATGCTCGGCAATGCATAAGACAATTCAAACCTATTCTTGAGGGAGTTTAATTGCTTGTGTGATATAATACTTTAGGTTTCTTCTTCAAATACAGCAGCTTCTTTTGCTAATATAATGATAATAAAGCCACGGTGCTATTTAGCTCATATGCACTGATGACGTGACCTCTAGTTGGGTAATGAAACCACCACGCTCAGAGAGCGCTAAGGTCCCCACAGTTCATATACAATGCTGAGTGATTGTGGGCCAATCCCCAGGGAGACTGGGAGTTCTAGTACCACCTTAGGCGTAAAAGCCGCCTGGGTGATTGTGGGCCAATCCCCAGGGAGACTGGGAGTTCTAGTCCCGCCTTAGGCGTAAAAGCCGGCTGGTTGACTGTGGGCCAATCCCCAGGGAGACGATTTCTAGTTGGGCATAAAAGCCAACTGGGTGACTGTGAGTTCTAGTCCCGCCTTAGGCATAAAAGCCAGCTGGGTGACTGTGGGCCAATCCCCAGGGAAATTGTGAGTTCTAGTCCCACTTTAGGCATAAAAGCCGGCTGTGTGATTGTGGGCTAATCCACAGGGAGAAGGTGAGTTCTAGTCCCACCTTAGGCGTAAAAGCTGGCTGGGTGACTGTAGGCCAATCCCCAGGGAGATTATGAGTTCTAGTCCCGCTTTATGCATAAAAGCCAGCTGGGTGACTGTGAGTTCTAGTCCCACCTTAGGTATGAAAGCCAGCTGGGTGACTGTAGGCCAATCCCCAGGGTGATGATGAATTCTAGTCCTGCCTTAGGCATAAAAGCCAGCTGGGTGACTGTGAGTTCTAGTCCCGCTTTAGGAATGAAAGCCAGCTGAGTGACGGTGAGTTCTAGTCCCACCTTAGGTATGAAAGCCAGCTGGGTGACTGTAGGCAAATCCCCAGGGAGATGATGAGTTCTAGTCCTGTTTTAGGCATAAAAGCCAGCTGGGTGACTGAGTTCTAGTCCCGCCTTAAAGCATAAAAGCCAGCTGGGTGAGTTTGGGCCAATCCCCAGGGAGACACTGAGTTCTAGTCCCACTTTTGGCATAAAAGCCAGCTGGGTGACTGTGGGCCAATCCCCAGGGAGACTATGAGTTCTAGTCCCACCTTAGCTATGAAAGCCAGCTGGGTGACTGTGGGCCAATCCCCAGGGAGACTGTGAGTTCCAGTCCCGCTTTAGGCATCAAAGTCGGCTGGGTGACTGTGAGTTCTAATCCCGCGTTAGACATAGAAGCTGGCTGCGTGACTTTAGACAAGTTTCTCTCAGCCTATATCAGGCCTGGATAACAAACCGGCCAGCGAATTCTTGTCATAACCAATGGATCAACAGTCAGTTGATCTCAAAAAAAAAAAAAAAAAAAAAAAAAAAATCGCACGCATTTCACAAAGCTGCGTTTGCTGCACCTGTGGTTCAGCCCTAAGGTGGGTTTTCAAATATGCAACCATACCTTTCCCGCTTCCCTGCCTCCACTGACATTTTCCCATCAGTACTCCAACACCTCCACATTCTTCACACTCCGATCGCTTTTTGCTCGTAGCACAGGAATCTGGACAGTTCTTATCATTATGTATAACTGAGGAGAGAAAGAACACCAGTGGTATCGCTGTCACCCTCGTGTTGCCGAAATCCTTCTTGTAACCCACTAATGTCAGGCACGAAAAATAAGGATCACGCGTTAAGTTCCAGTGCAGAAGATTTATTGCTCGAGTCCACTCACAAAAAAAATTTTTTTTTGTATCTTTCCTTTTATGTACACTGACAGCGTATGCACCAGGACAAATTCCTTATGTGTCCAATCACACTTGGCCAATAAAGAATTCTATTCTATTCTATTCTATTCTATTCTATTCTATTCTATTCTATTCTATTCTATTCTATTCTATTTCTATTCTATTCTATTCTATTCTATTCTATTCTATTCTATTCTATTCTATTCTATTCTATTCTATTCTATTCTATTCTATTCTATTCTATTCTACTCTACTCTACTCTACTCTACTCTATTATCCTATCCTATCCTATCCTATCCTATCCTATCCTATCCTATCCTATCCTAGTTAACTAGCAGTCAGCATTACATTGCTGGTCTAGCATCTAGGTCCGTGATGGCGAACTTATGGCACGCGTGCCTGGAGTGGTATGTGGAGCCATGTCGCCTGGCACACGCAGCGTCGCCTGTTCCTCCTCTGGGTTTCTGGCACTCATGCACGCGCGACCTTTTTGCATGACGCAGTGCCAGAAACTAGAAGAGCTGGTCTTCCATTTTCCTGTGTGAGCATGTGCGCCAACCAGCTGATCGTCGCATGCACATGTGCACCAGAATTCTGGGAGAGTAGCTGTCTGAAACCGGAAGTTCATTAGCTGAAATCGGAACGCGTGCGCATGTGCCTTGGGCAGCTCCTACATTTTCACGTGCGCGCTCCCTTTTCAGCACTCGGTGCCGAAAAGGTTCGCCATCATTGACCTAGGTGCTAGTTAGTGTTAGTTAGTTAGAGTTAGTGGAATTCAAAGGAGGGCTGGACTTGCAGTATTTTTGGACATGTAACGATTCTAGGCTGAGTCCTCTCTTGATTCTGCCTCCGGTCTCTACATGCCCTTCTCCTACATAGAAAAGTCTTCAGCCAGTGATCGACTTCATGGAGCGTGATGCAACTTCTTTGGTGAGTTCTTTCCTTCTTCTGGGATGTTTTCATGACTTCCCAGTCTAGCCTTCAGCCCTGAGTGAATCTGGTGTTCACTCACTCAAGCGTTCACCAAGAATTATTCTGCTTGGATTCTTCTGAGATCAGCCAAGGCTGGCTGGGAAATCCCCATTGAATATATGGATGCATCCATTAATGTTTCTACACCCCGGTATGGAACCTGAGTCATGGCCACTGGACTTCTTTTCTTTTTTGGGTTTGAAACGTTTTGCTGCTTATTCAAGTAGCTTCTTCGGTCTGAGCTAAGTAGCTCCTTGGATAAGTAAGTATTCTTCCAACTGTTCTGTTCTATTCTATTCCTATTCATTAACTGTTGTATCTTATGATTCTTGATGAATGTACTGTGAAGTGGTATATAAGTCTAAGGGCTTTTGCTAGATATGTATTTCCTCTTGTGTAAAAGCCTAAACAAAGTTGACTTATTTAACTCACTGAACAATAAAAGAAGTTGTACGAGAGCCTTGCCCTTAGGAACTTCAATTTTTAATTTGTTTCACAAGTGAAAGGGAACCAGCGATTTAGAGCAGGGGAAAATTTCATCATGAAAATCTCTGTTGCAATACCAGCAAGAACTGGACAAGGGGTAAACATTCCTTCATTCTTTACTTGCAGGGTCTGTTGTATATCAACTAACTCCACCCTCCTATTCAAGGGTAACCAAACTTCAGCTTTCTAGAAGCAGCAAAAGTCTTACGTGATCCTTCAAGCACGACAGTAAGATGAGTGTAAGCTTCCTTCCTGCTCCAGTCCTCTTTAGCTAGCACGGGGTAGTGGATTTCTCTGCACTCGGGGCTCTGCAGCACGGCTGAATTGTTCACGTATAGAATTCCGCACTTGTCACCGTGGCTCTGAGCCATCTCCACCGCATAGCAGCTGACATTTGGACTCTCTAAGCTGTATGTGATGTTGACGCCGTCAAACTTCATACAGTTGTCAATGCAGAGTTTTCCTATCTAGGCTCAAAAAAAGAGAGAATGGGAACAAGAAAAGAGAAGCCATCAAAATGTCAGCAAGAGTTCCTGAAGAACAGCAAAGGAGGGGAGGGGAGGGGAGGGGAGGGGAGGGGAGGGGAGGGGAGGGGAGAGGAGAGGAGAGGAGAGGAGAGGAGAGGAGAGGAGAGTTTGAAGGTCTTCTAGTCCAGTGGTCCCCCATCAGTGGTCCATGGCACGCCAGAAGCCAGCCCATGCAAACAAGCGAAGCCCCATCCACAGGATGCAGGCAGCACATGAAACCACACCCCCTTCAGTCCACAGAAAAACCTCTCTCCACGGAATCGATCCCTGGTGCCCAAAAGGTTGGGGCTCACTGTTCCAATCCGCTGCTGGAGCAGGAGACCCTATACCATTCCAGACAAACGGCTGTCCAATCTCTATTTAAAAGCCTCCAATGATGGAGAACCCACAACCTCTGGAGGCAAGTCATTTCACTGACAAATTGTTCTGTCAGGAAATTCCTCCTTAGTTTCAGGTTGGATCTCTCATTGCTTAGTTTCCATCCGTTGCTTCTGGTCTTGTCTTCAGGTGCTTTGGAAAATATGTTGATGATCTTTATTACATACAGCTGAAATTGTAGGTGGGGATCATTTTGGATTTGTAGCTCCTTACGAGTCTTCTCTAAGAACAGGAGATGTCATATGTATTTGATGATTATTTTCTCCTGCTATCCGAATGACAGCTGTCATGTCGGTCCTGGCCCTTGGTAGCAGTTGTCCAATATTTGAGGGGCTGCCACAAAGAAGAAGGGGTCAACCTGTTTTTCAAAGCACAAAAAGCAGGACAAAAACCAATGGATGGAAATGAATCAAGGGGAGAAGCAACCTAGAACTAAGGAGAAATTTCCTGACAGTGAGAACAATTAATCAGGGGACAACTTGCCTCCAGAAGTTCTGGATGCTCCATCACTGGAGGTTTTTAAGAAGAAACTAGACAGCCATTTGTCTGAAATGGTATAAAATGGTCTCCTGCTTGAGCAGGGGGTTGGACTAGAAGATCTCCAAGGTTCCTTCCAACTTTTGTTATTCTGTTATTCCTGTGTAATTAGTATCTGGTCTGCTGAAAAACCAACTCAGACATAATTTTCTCCTTGCTATGTTATTCTTTCTCAGTTTCTTGACTGATTATATTCCTCCTCCTTTTCCTTTGCTTGCCGAGTTAAATTTGCTGAAGTCCTACCAGACCTTCTTCATTGGATAGAAACAAAAAGTCCATCTCTGCTAAAAAAGAATATTAAGATGCAGATAGTTTATTTTTTAAAAAAATTCATTGATTTAGAAAAACCGAATTCGAGACTTGTAACAAACCCTTCCTAAACTGCTTCTCAATTTCATTTGTGATACTGTTTACTGTTTACCATAGGTTGGGAACTACTGTTCTCCAATGTTTTAAAGACTTCTGGGGAGTTTCAGAATTTTGCCAACGAACTTTCAAAATGCTACTTGAATTAAAGGCCTCTTAAATGTGATTTTTGGAATGAGTCATCTTTTCTTTAGAAGTTCAAGAAAACAAGTAGGACGATAATGGCCTTTTAATGTGTTGCTATTCTTATTTCAATAAACTGAGGAGAAATATTCCGCCTGGAATTAAAGCGGATGAGTTTAAGACAATTAACATTTTGCAGTAATTTTTTCTTCATCGCAACATTAGTAACAAAACACATTTTTCCCCCTCTCCAGAAGTAAGACAAATCTCCATGCTTTAATTTTATTATCTTCTTGGAATGTGATTTTTTTTTTTTTTGGAGGAAACGCAGTTAAGATAACTTACCTGCAACAATGGTTGTGAATGGTTGGAATTGTGTGCTCATTAGAGCTGCATGCATATAAATTGAATTTATCCATTAACAAATGTGAACGATCTACAGATTAAGCCTCTGAAAAAGGAGCTAAACATTCCTTTCGAACAATGAAGGATGAATGAGTTCCTATTCTCTTTTATGAAATCCAGTTCTAAAACAGGACAGCCATTTACCAGCAAATCTGTCGCTTCTCATATGGTTTCATTTTTTAGAATTATCCTCATTTTTTTCTTCTTCTCTTTTCCTTCACTATTTTCTTCTGCTCTGGTGCTTGAAACATCTGCATTTTTTACTCAAATTGCACAAACTACCTAAGACGCTCGGTATCTCTAACACAGATAAAATATGAGCAATTTTGGATTGATAGGGATTGAAAAGTTACATTTTTCCAGCTCTGAAAACAGGCCTATGCACGGCCTAACAATAAACTAGATTAAGCGTAAAGATAACTCGGCACATGAGAAACAAATAAAGTAATATACATGCGTGTTTATACCGTGAAAGAGATTAGTAACATGCCATAACATGCATTTACTCAAACATTTGCATCATAGTATCTTTTCTTTTATGTACTCTGAGAGCATATGCACCAAGACAAATTCCTTGTGTGTCCAATCACACTTGGCCAATAAAAAATTCTATTCTATTCTATTCATAGCGTAAAATCTGAGCATTGCAACGACAAAAATCGCCAGTCCAAATTAACTATAAATTAATTGCCTCCTTCTAAACCGCAAATACAGATCACTTCATCAACTAAACACTTCCTCTATAGCTTAATAATCTTTAAGCAGTTAATTATTTTGTCTTGGCAATCACTTTAAACATTTTATTAATTATAATTTACTGTTTTAATGCATGTCTAATAAATGTGCGCCTGTTAGGTGCGAAAGACCAGGTCCATACATGAAGGTTCAATTAAACAGATTTATTGCTGAAACTGTCTACCTCCCAACCATCTTTTCGTTCGTAGGTATGTTTTCCCTGCTGATGATTTAATTCTAAGACGCTCATGTGTAAAAAAAAAAAAAGAAGAGAGGTGCCATCCTCACTTGTGAAAAGTTGGCCGCGTTCCTGTTCACCGTGAACTGATATGTCGAGTTTGAGAACTGGATGGAGACTGGTAGGATGGAGACGTTGAAGTGAAGCGTCAAGGATTTGTCCGGTCCGTGGTACGTTGTGTCATTAACAATGACATCCAGCAGGATGGAACGGCTTTCCGTAATGGAAACGGTCCTTTTTAGTATCAACTCTGCAAAAAAAAATAGAAAATTCCCTACACTTTTAGCACTTGGGAGAAGGAAATACACAACAAAGGGAGACACCCAGTGGATGAAGAATGGACAGGCACTGGACCCTAAGAAAAACAGTAGTTTATGGGGAAATCTGGCCACAGACATACTGAAATGCAGAGTTCTGTTCCATAACACAACCCCCAAATCTTTTGAAGGAAACACTTCTGGTAGAAACAAAGACATTTATACCCTTAGCCTACAACCTATTCCCATTATACTGTCCTGAAAGAAAGAAGGAGAGGTCTTCTTGAAGGTCTTTAAGTCCAATCCCCTACCCAAGACAGGAGATTTGAGACCATCATGGTCAAATGGTTGCCCAAACTTTTCTCGAAAACTTCCAGCAATGGAGCAACCCACAACTTCCAGAGGGAAACCATTTCCACCCAGTGGTGGGATTCAAATAATTTAACAATCTATTCTCTGCCCTAATGACTGGCTGGGTGGGTGTGGCCATTGTGGGTGTGGCCTGGGGATGTGACAGGCAGCACTCAGCACTCCTGCACTCCCCTGGGAGCAAAAATGGGCCACAAGGGGAAGGGGGGATGCACTGCACCCCCCGCACCACATTTTGGGCCTAGGAGGCCTCCCTGCAGCCTCCTGGGAGCGACAACAGGCCGTGGGGGGCCTGCACCACACACACACCTCACATCCCGTTTTGGGCCATGTAGGCCTCCCTACACTTACCTGGGAGCCAAAATGGGGCACGTGGGGACTCCTGGAAGGGGCGGGGCAGGGCCCACCAGCAATTTAACTCCCAGTTCTTCCGAACCGGCTTAAACCAGCTGAATCCCACCACTGATTCCACCGATTAATTGGCAAATATCAGAATCTCCTAAAATGGCATAACTAGATCCAACTTTGATTTCTTTGATTTTTGATCTCATAAAACAGAAAGAAAAAAAAATAGGCATTCAGCTTCTCCTTAATAGTGGGTGGCTAGAATCAGAGGATAATGCATAAATTAAATTGATTATTATAAGTTTAAGGGGGCGTAATGGCTCAGTGGTTAAAGACGCTGACCTTATCAGCTGGAGAACTGACAGCCCGGGTTTGAGTCCTGCAAACCCTGTGATGGGGTGAGTTCCTGCTCCTTACTCTAACTCCTGCCCCTACCTAGCAGTTTGAAAGCATGAAAATGCAAGTAGATAAATAGGTACCACTTTGGTGGAAAAGTAACAGCATTCCATGTGCCTTTGGCATATAGCCATGCGGCCGCATGACCAGATAAATTGTCTTTGGATAATGCTGGCTCCCTCAGCCAAGAAAAGGAAGTGAGCATTGCCCCCTGGAGTCAGACACAACTGGACAGGGTAAACTTTTACCTTTATTATATGTTTAATCTAGAACATGGGTGAATTTGCACTTGAGGGATATATTTTAGTTTAAATAAAATATAAGATTCATTAATTGTGGTTATTACTAAGATAAAGTAAGTTTCGCTGCAACTGAACTTTAATCCAAGTGATTTACAGAGATGTAATCGTATTATTTCTTTGTCATGGTTTGCCATTGCCTTTGTCTAGGACAGGAGTGTCAAACTGGCAGCCCACAGGGCGGATGTGTCACACGCAGGCCACACCCATCCCCGCTCTGCGGATGGGAAAAACATCACAAAACGTCACCTGACGGCAACGAGACACAGCGATTTTGACACCCATGGTCTAGGATATCTTCTCCACTTAGAATAGAATAGAATAACAGAGTTGGAAGGGACCTTGGAGGTCTTCTAGTCCAACCCCCTGCTTAGGCAGGAAACCCTACACCACTTCAGACAAATGGTTATCCAACATCTTCTTAAAAACGTCCAGTGTTGGAGCATTCACAACTTCTGGAGCCAAGTTGTTCCACTGATTAATTGTTCTAACTGTCAGGAAATTCCTCCTTAGTTCTAAGTTGCTTCTCTCCTTGATTAGTTTCCATCCATTGCTTCTTGTCCTGCCCTCAGGTGCTTTGGAGAATAGCTTGACTCCCTCTTCTTTGTGGCAACCCCTGAGATATTGGAAGACTGCTATCATGTCTCCCCAATCCTTCTTTTCATTAAATTAGGCATACCCAGTTCCCACTTGTCTATACTTGAGATTTTTCCTGGCCATCTCTCATCCAATATTAACCATTCTGGGATTAACCAAACTCAAGCTCAGTTAGATGCTGTTATCTGCTATGCCAGGAGTCCCCAACCCCCAGGCCATGGCTCTTTGGGAACTGGGCCGCAGAAAGGGCACACACGTGTGCAAAACCATCTCTTCTCCTCCTGCCATCGCTACTACCAGTCAACAAAGCCAGAAAGGTTCTATGCCACCATTAATATTATTTCCTACTTATTTAATAATTTCTATCACACCTAATTTATTAAAGCCCCATAAAGGTTTCACCCTAACGCTTTAGAAGGGAGGCACCTACACAGATATGCACATACAGAAATATGGGTGTGTGTTTGTGCAGATGTGTACATCTCCAAGAATTAAAAAAAAAAAAAACTTTCCAAATCATCTTGAGTTCTAACGGAACTCTTTTTAACGGAAGGTTGCAATAAATAATAAATAAATTATAAATAAATAAATAAAAAGGTTGCAATAATAAAGATGTTCATAAAATTTACTATATTCGTGTCGTGTGCCCCGCACTTGGCTGCCGTTTGGGTGGAAATAGATCTCGTGGAAAAGATGGTCCACACGAAACGTTTCTTGTATCCACAGATCTGATGAATTTATGGTGCCCGTATACATCTTCCTGCTGGTATCTACAGGAAGATAGGAGTTGTGTCTGTATCCAGGACTGATAATGCTGCCAAGATGGTACCCTGGAAAAGAAGAGAGGTAAATTAAAGCACCTCTCCACCAGCCATCAGCACCCAGATCAGCATAGGACAACCCTAACTCCAAAATTAACATCAGACCATCAATCAAGTAAACAATACACCAGTCAAGAAACTGCCAAGGAAGCCAACAGCAAAACCAGAATGGAACAATATAAGGGTTCCAAATAACACCCCCAACGAAAGAAAACTCTGAGGCTTTAAGTTCCTCAAATCTACACTTTATTAGAGATGTCATATTGGCACATCTGGGAAAACCCAAATCTGAAAGTTTCCAGGTTTTCCCCACCCAAAGAAAAGTTCAAGTCCCTGCCCAACACCCACACATCCATTACATAGAATAGAATAGAATAGAATTTTTTATTGGCCAAGTGTGATTGGACACACAAGGAATTTGTCTTGGTGCATATGCTCTCATTGTACATAAAAGAAAAGATACGTTCATCAAGAATCATAAGGTACAACACTTAATGATAGTCGTAGGGTACAACTGATAGAAGCCACAAAATAAACATGGTCCAATTAAGGCACCTTCCCAACTGGGGATGCCTCCCAGTTCCAGCCTTCCAGGTGCAGGGCAATTTGTCCTTGACTCTCTGAGAAAGGAATGTTATTATGACTACATAGCACCCCAGCTCCATACAATCCCCCCTCCCAGTTTCCCACAGTAGTAAACGTGGCAGTTCTGAAGGCCCAATACAAAAGATGGCTTCCAGGCCTGACAGAGAACTCCCTACAGAGCCAACTCACTATGGCCAACTCGCTGCGGGACAATTTAACAATTCAATTTAATTATTTCAAATAAATAAAAAAAATATTTTAATTTTTGTCATTCCCATTTCATTCTGTCCCTCCTTTTGTATCCTTTCTTTAATGATTCTATTCTACCATTTCTTTGATACAGATAAATATGAGAAAACTTTTTTTAAAATGAACTATTAATGAACTATTGGTTAGGTGGGCTTATAACTTAAATCTCCACCAAGATTTGCAGGTAAAATTCACATTCACTGAACTGTGGTGGTGCAGTGGTTAGAACGCAGTGCTGCAGGCTAACTCGCTGCTCAGTTCAGGAGTTCGATCCAGATCGGCTGGCTCTAAATTGACTCTGCCTTCCATCCTTCCAAAATCATTAAAATGAAGTCCCAGATTGTTGGGGGGCAATAGGCTGATGCTGTAAACCGCTTAGAGAGGGCTGTTAAAAGAACTATGAAGCGGTATATAAGTCTAAGTGCTATTGCTATTAAGTCAGCCTTCCATCCTTCCAAGGTCATTAAAATGAGGACCCAGATTATTGGGGGCAATAGGCTGACTGTGAAAACTGCCCAGGGAGTGCTGTAAAGCACTATGGAGCAGTATAAAAGTCTAAGTTCCCATGTAACACCTCTCCTGCACGAGCTGCACTGGCTCCCGGTGGTTTTCCAAGTGCGCTTCAAGGTTCTGGTTATCACCTTTAAAGCGCTCCATGGTTTAGGACCTGGTTATCTACAGGACCGCCTCCTACCACCAATAGCCTCCCACCGGCTATTGGTGGTAGCAAAACATTGTTTGGCCGACGGCACCCGGAGGAGCCCCTCTCTATGGGAGCACCTACGATCTGGAACGAGCTCCCCTGGAGATACGGAGGATCCCGGATCTGCGCACCTTCCGTCGCGTGCTCAAGACTTTCTTATTTTATCAAGCTGGCCTGGCCTAAATCTTCTCCCCTTTTTAAATGTAATTTTTTAAAAAAATTTTAATGTAAATTTTAATTTGTTTTAAATTATGGGGTATTTTAAATTCAGCCAAATTATTTAATTTGTTTTTAATTCATTTTAAATTTTTTGTATTTATGTGTTTTATCTCGTGGCTGTTCACCACCCTGAGTCCTTCGGGAGAAAGGCGGTATAGAAATTTAATAAATAAATAATTTAATAAAATAATAAAATAATAAAATAATTTAATAAATAAATAAATAAATAAATAAATAAATAAATAAATAAATAAATAAATTAATAAGTGTTATTGTTATTAATGTAACTCGTCTTGCAGTGAGTTGTCTGGCAATGAATTGGCCATGGTGAGTTAGCCGCAGTGAGCTGGCCATGGCGAATATGACAATAGACCCGCAGTCAACAGACCAACCAGCTGTGAAATGCAGTTACCTTCACTACTGGTTTGGAAATGTGAGTGCGCTCACTACACTTGTGCACGCCTCTTCTGCGCATGCGCAGAGGGTAAATAATGGGACTAATGTCATCCCGACGGATGGGCGGAGCTTCCCACCACCGGCCCTACCGGTTCGTGCGAGCCGGATAGATCCGCCAGATTTCACCACTGAGCCCAACCAAAGAATCTCTAAGACCACCCCAACGAAACACTGACAGGGCAAGTCACCAAAATATAAACTGAGAATATATCAGACTCATTATAGAATAGAATAGAATTTTTTTATTGGCCAAGTGTGATTGGAACACAAGGAATTTGGCTTGGTGCATATCCCCAGTTATTAGCACTGATGATGTTACCTAGTTGGGTAATGAAATGTCTTCAATAAAACAACCAAGCTCAGAGTGCACCACGGACACCCCCCTCCCCATTTCAACTCTGAGCTACAAATATTCTCTTTTATAGATCGATTAAAGTGACGCAGTAACAAAGCCCAACTCTTGAGCTCTGATTGTAAGAGAGGTTTCCAGGTGTGACATTGGGATGAAGAATCTGACCCAAGAGCGCCAGCAAAAGAATAACACCGCTAAATTCACATTACCACTTGCACGGATTCAGCCTTTGGCTTAGTGCATTAGTATTTCCCAACTGTCTAGACAGCGAACTAAACGAATGAAACATTTCTTATTCAATTATTTACAACACGCCTCCACTGCTCAC